TAGCCTGCAGAAGAGAAGAATGAGGGGGGATTTGATAGCTGCTTTCAACTACCTGAAAGGGGGTTCCAAAGAGGATGGCTCTAGACTGTTCTCAATGGTAGCAGATGACAGAACGAGGAGTAATGGTCTCAAGCTGCAGTGGGGGAGGTTTAGATTGGATATTAGGAAAAACTTTTTCACTAAGAGGGTGGTGAAACACTGGAATGCGTTACCTAGGGAGGTGGTAGAATCTCCTTCCTTAGAGGTTTTTAAGGTCAGGCTTGACAAAGCCCTGGCTGGGATGATTTAACTGGGAATTGGTCCTGCTTCGAGCAGGGGGTTGGACTAGATGACCTTCTGGGGTCCCTTCCAACCCTGATATTCTATGATTCTATGATTCATATCTGCCCTGTTTGGCCTTGTTTAATTTCAGGCAGTCTGACTTTGCAACATCTTGTTGCAGATCCTCAGCATAACTGCTGTGAGTTTTTCCAGGCCGGGGGGGGGGGGGGAGGGGGGGGCCAAGGACACTTGGGCCTAGTGCGAGGAGGCTTCATCGACACTCATGGTCTTCCATCCCCTCGAGTTACCGAGTGGCCATGCCCAGTGTCCCCAACATCATGACACCTGCTGCTTGTGGCTTTGATGAGACTATGGCACAGAAAGGGGAGAACCTCTGTGTTCTTTTGCAAATCAGAAAGACCTTTCTCTGGCACACAGCAGTGAGTACAATGTCCCTTAGGGTGTCAGTACAGATGCACAGCATTTAAGGATTGGGCCCCACATGCCTGTGAGGGTGTTCTATCGGCCACAAAAATGGAGCATTTCACCACATTGTGTATGCACCTGGTCCAGCTTTAGAATCTACTATATCACTAATTGCTTACAAACTCAGTTAGAAGCTGTAGTGTGGACAAGGCCCATAGGGAGGGGGCTTCCCATTAAATTCCCTGGAAGTACGCACTGCGGGGAGCTGATATTGCATCTTCTATTGCAGAGCATGCCATGTGGCGTAGGGCTCATGCAGATTCCCACCGAGTTGCTGTACTTGGGGCTGATCGCATTCTAGGACGCTGGCATTTTTTTATCTTTAGCAAAAGTGCAGAGCCTTTTTTCTGTGCTTGGCTATTGGGAAGAGTTTGCCTGTATCCAGTTCCAGCAAGGATAGGCCATGTTATCTGCCCCACATTATTACATACAAGGGTTTGCCTGATTGTAAAGTAGGAGCCTAAAGATTTCCCTTCACGATGCCACTCTTGGTAGTGGAATTTCAGTGTGAAATATTCCTCCATTCCAGGTTGCCATCTTGGCCCCAGCAACTGGAGCAGATCTTACTCTGCCTCTTGATAATCAAGAGGAAACTTCTGTTTCATGTTCCAGAGACATGATTTTGATTGACCTCCTGTCAAGGTTCCTTCCCCACTCTGAACTCTAGGGTACAGATGTGGGGACCTGCATGAAAGACCCCCTAAGCTTATTCTTATCAGCTTAGGTTAAAAACTTCCCCAAGGTACAAACTTTGCCTTGTCCTTGAACAGTATGCTGCCACCACCAAGTGTTTTAAACAAAGAACAGGGAAAGAGCCCACTTGGAGACGTGTTCCCCCAAGCCTTACACCCCCTCTCCTAGGGAAGGCTTGAGAATAATATTCTCAGTTGGTACAGGTGAGCACAGACCCAAACCCTTGGATCTTAAGAACAATGAAAAATCAATCAGGTTCTTAAAAGAAAAATTTTATTTAAAGAAAAGGTAAAAGAATCACCTCCGTAAAATCAGGATGGTAAATACTTTACAGGGTAATCAGATTCAAAACATAGAGAATCCCTCTAGGCAAAACCTTAAGTTACAAAAAGAGACAAAAACAGGAATATACATTCCCTCCAGCACAGCTTATTTTACGAGCCATTAAACAAAAGAAAATCTAACGCATTTTCTAGCAAGATTACTTACTAACTTTACAGGAGTTGTAAGGCTTACTTCCTGATCTGTTCCCGGCAAAAGCATCACACAAACAGACAACCCTTTGTTCCCCCCCCTCCAGATTTGAAAGTATCTTGTCTCCTCATTGGTCATTTTGGATCAGGTGCCAGCGAGGTTACCGTAGCTTCTTAACCCTTTACAGATGAAAGGGTTTTGCCTCTGGCCAGGAGGGATTTTACAGCACTGTATACAGAAAGGTGGTTTCCCTTCCTTTATATTTATGACACCTCCACTTCCTGGGATCTTCTGGGAGACAGCCAGATCCTCAGGATGAGGAAGGGGAGGGTGGACAGGAGAGAATCATTGTAATGACTCTTCGTTCAGGTGAGACTCACTAGTTGATAGACAGAAGCTGGGTTCTGGAAAAGCTCAGGCCCAGCCTAGGCCAGAGGGGATGGGGCACATCATTTGGATCTCAGCAGTTTTGTGGCCAGCTCCTCTCTGCGTAGGGACTACTGTGGGGAATAGCTGAGAGCACAAGGCTGAGCGTGAATATGCTCCTTGCTGTAAGCTTGCTAGATTTGGATGGGCTGAGATAGGAGCAGGTCATGAGACCGAGGTTTTTCCAGCTCCCCAAGGCCATGTTCCTCTCCTCTCCTTGACTGAAGTTCTGTTCTTCTTCTGCCCTGGGGTCCTCTCCACAGAATGATCCCCCTTCTCATCACTCAGTGAGATCTGGAGATTCCCCCATCCCTGGAGGTTATTTCTCACTTGTGCATTAGTCTAACTTGTGAGGGGTAGCGATGGGAATGAACTAATTGAAACATGAGCTACTGGCTTCATACATGCTGCAAATTTCATGAGATAATGGCCATTGGGTAAAGGGGTCTCTCCAGGGAACAGACCCCACAGTAAGGCCTCTGCTACACACCGTGGTGTTGATTTGGCTCTTTTCAGTATGGCCCCACCAGACCCTGGTGGTACAAGGGTTTCAATCTCATGTGCATGACAAGTGGGATCCACATGGACAAAGAATCAACAAAGACCATGAAGGGGGAGGGGCTGGAGGAGAGTACGGAACAATATTAATAGTTTGTCTCTTCAATAATCAAGTAGCTGCCAGACTTATCTAACCAGCTCACCTAGCAGGTGGACTCTGGCCTGTTTCCTAAAGAGGGGCTAGTGGTGCAGTACTGGTGAGTGACACAGGGCACAGCCTGCTTCATTATCATAGAATATCAGGGTTGGAAGGGACTTCAGGAGATCATCTAGTCCAACCCCCTGCTCAAAGCATGATCAATCCCCAATTTTTGCCCCAGATCCCTAAATAGCCTCCTCAAGGATTGAACTCACAACCCTGGGGTTAGCAGGCCAATGCTCAAACCACTGAGCTATCCCTCCCCCTATGACTATGACTCCGCTATTTGTGGCATAGTTGACGCCATGAGCATTTGCAGAGGCACTCTGCTGTTACACACAATGCACTGGGCCAGGTCCCCGTGCAGAGTGTCCATTGTTACCCACAAGAATCCTCTGCCCCATTGTGGCTGACCAGATTTACAGAGCAGTGAAGATTGCTGGCTGAAAGAGTTCTGGATGCTGCTGGAGGAGAGAGAGCAAGGATGGAGCGATATCTGGGGCTGGAAGACAGGGTGAGGCATGATTGCTGCTGGTCTAGGGCTAAGATTCTCACGTGCAGCACTGGAGTCGAAATTCTTTGGAAGCTCTAAGGGCAGGTATGAACCTTGATTTTTATATAAAAAAGGAACCTTCATACCTACTTCCTCCCCCTCCATGGCTTGTTGGTACAGAGGGGTGACCCTGCGTCCCTGGCAGGTCTCGCTGTGTGTGTTGGCCTTGGGAAGAAGGTGAATTGTGCCAGCCGCTTCCGGGGAGCTGTGAAGAGCCAGAGCAGGGCACCTGCCTTCATGCTGCTGCAATGCCAACGGGGAGCTGCCTGAGGCAAGTGCTGCCTGGCTGGAGCCCGCACCCCGAATCCCTCGCCACAGGTCAGAACCCCCTCCCACACTCAAACTCCCTCCCAGAGCCTGCACCCCGTACCCTTCCTGCACCCCAACTCCCCACCCCTGCCCTCTCCTGGAGCCTGTACGCCAACCCCCTACCCCAGACCTGATCCCCTTCCCACACCCAAACTCCCTCCTGGAGCCCGCACCCGCTCCTGCACTCCAACCCCCTGCCCTAGCCCTGAGACCCCCCCCCACACTCCAACCCCCTTATCCCCAGCCCCATCCCAGAGCCCCCACCCAAACTCCATCCCAGAACCCGCACCCCAGCCCTGAGCCCCCTCCCACACCCAAACTCCCGCCCGCGGCCCCTCCCGCATTCCAACCCCCTCATCCCCAGCCCCACCCCAGAGCCCCCCACCCAAACTCCATCCCAGAACCCGCACCCCAGCCCTGAGCCCCCTCCCACACCCAAACTCCCGCCCGCGGCCCCTCCCGCACTCCAACCCCCTCATCCCCAGCCCCACCCCAGAGCCCCCACCCAAACTCCATCCCAGAACCCGCACCCCAGCCCTGAGCCCCCTCCCACACCCAAACTCCCGCCCGCGGCCCCTCCCGCACTCCAACCCCCTCATCCCCAGCCCCACCCCAGAGCCCCCACCCAAACTCCATCCCAGACCCCGCACCCCAGCCCTGAGCCCCCCCCCACTCCAACCCCCTCATCCCCAGCTCCACCCCAGAGCCCCCACCCAAACTCCATCCCAGAACCCGCACCCCAGCCCTGAGCCCCCTCCCACACCCAAACTCCCGCCCGCGGCCCCCCCCCACTCCAACCCCCTCATCCCCCAGCCCCACCCCACTGGAAGCGAGTGAGGGTGGGAGAGCGAGCAACGGGGGCGGGGGGGACTGGAGTGAGTGTGGGCGGGGCCTAGGGAAGGGGCGGGGCAATTAGAATGTTGGCCACCCTAAGATGGAATCACGGGCCCGGCGCCAGGTCCCAGCCCGGCCTCAGCCAGACCCGCCCAGCGCGGGACGCCGGCTGTTACCCACAATGCCCGGGGCTCGAGCGCACCTCCTCGCTGCTCGCGCTCCTATCGCGCGGGTTCTCGGGGTGGGGCCACAGGAGGGGGCGGGGCCTCGTGGAGCGGCGCTGCCGGAAGTGGGGCCCGCCGGCTGTGGCGCGTGGCTGAGGCGGCTCGGGTCGCGCAGCTGAGTACGGGGGCCGGGCCGGGCCATGGCGCTCTACAGCGCGGCCGCCTCTGTCCTGGCGGGGCTGCAGCGCCGGGAGGGCGCCCTCAAGACTCTGGTGTACAAGAGCCGCTTCCAGGTACCGGGGCCGGGACCAGCCCCCCGCGCCGCCCCGCTCCGGCCGGGGGCGTGGGGTGTCAGCGGAGCCGGGAAGGGGGCAGGAGCTGGGGTTATAGGGGGGCTGGGCTCACAGGGTGGGGGGCAGGAGTTGGGGTTATAGGGGGGCAGAGCTGGGATGGGGGGCAGGAGTTGGGGTTATAGGGGGCTGGGCTCACAGGGTGGGGGGCAGGAGTTGGGGTTATAGGGGGGCTGGGCTCACAGGGTGGGGGGCAGGAGTTGGGGTTATTGGGGGGCAGAGCTGGGATGGGGGGCAGGAGTTGGGGTTATAGGGGGCTGGGCTCACAGGGTGGGGGGCAGGAGTTGGGGTTATAGGGGGGCTGGGCTCACAGGGTGGGGGGCAGGAGTTGGGGTTATTGGGGGGCAGAGCTGGGATGGGGGGCTGGGCTCCCAGACTGACCATGCCAGGGGCAGGAGTTGGGGTTATAGGGGGGCTGGGCCCCCAGGCTCATAGGGTGGGGGGCAGGAGTTGGGGTTATTGGGGGCAGAGCTGGGATGGGGGGCAGGAGTTGGGGTTATAGGGGGGCTGGGCTCACAGGGTGGGGGGCAGGAGTTGGGGTTATTGGGGGGCAGAGCTGGGATGGGGGGCTGGGCTCCCAGACTGACCATGCCAGGGGCAGGAGTTGGGGTTATTGGGGGGTAGAGCCAGGCAGGGGGACTGGGCCCCTAGGCTCACCGGGTCTGTTCCCCACAGAACGTGAAGCAGCTCTATGCCCTGGTGTCCGAGACCCTGCGCTACTCGCTGGTGCTGGACTCCATCATGGCCGGGGCTGCCCTGCTGAAGGCTGAGAAGAAGCTGCCTCCCCACTTGGCCAAGGTAAGACCTGGCCCTGCCCAGGCTATCTCAGGGGGATGCCCTAGGCTGGTGGCACTGGGCTGGGCCTGACCCACTCTGTCTTGCCGCAGGTGCTGGTGTATGACCTGCTCTTTGGCAAGGGTCTGAAGTGCGGGGGCCGCTGGAAGGTGCTGGTGCTGAAGCACAGGGCCCGGCTGCAGGCAGAACTGGCCCGTCTCAAGGTGCGCAGGAAGGTGAGCTGCAACGAGGATCTGCTGGCGCCCACAGATGGGATGATCCAAGGTGAGTGTGGGGGCTTTCCCCAGCAGGTGGGCTTCTAGACTGGGAATCCCATTGTAGCGGGAGACTCAGCAGGATTCCTATGCCCACCTCTGCCCGGATGGTAGTTTGTGACTGTTTCTCCAGTGGGAGGGTGTACTGTAGTTCCTGGTTTCTTCAAGGCTATTCTCTGTATTTGTGCCATCATTTCACTAGAGATAAGGGTCATGTATGGGGCAGTGGTTTCCAGGTTCATTCTTCTGGGCATTGGGTCTGTTTGAGTTGGGCTCCTGGTTAACCTGTAACTTAGTAAATGGACCTTCAGACTGGGCTAGACATGACCTGATCTGTCCCTTCCATCTCTGTCTGATACTCGGAACAAGCTGGAGTATTCTTGTATCTCAGGTGATTTGGGAAAGGGGATTGTGTGTGTCTGTGTCTGTGTAACCTGTTTGTTTTGGTTCCCCAGCCCCTCAAGTGCCACGGTATGTCCGAGTGAACACCCTGAAAACTTGCAAGGATGATGTGGTTGACTACTTCAAACGCCAGGGCTACTCCTACTTGGGCAGGGCAGCCAGGTAAAGCCATCCTAGCCATGACCCTGTGCGCTCTGGTCTTCACTGACCTGCCAAGCTGATAGCCCGAGATGGGGGAGGCCTTGCACCTACTGTAGTGACCTTCCAGACAATCAAGGGTTGGCACTGCAGGAAGCCATAAGCCATCCTCTTTGTGAAGGGGAGTAGTAGAGCCTTGTGTGTGGAAGAGAATGAGAGGGGTAGGGACACTATCTTCAATATTGGCAATGGATGGGTTGGAGCTTCTAGAGTGATGCGCTGCCCTGGATTCTGGTCAGCTACTTGGCTGGCCTTGAGATGGGGTTGGGGTATGGGCTTTAGTGGGCTAATGAGAAAGCGGGAAATCTGTAGCTGGCCTCTGAAGGACTTTTGAGCTTGGGGGAATCAGGATGTGTGCTTCACTAAATCAGTCTTCTCCATCCCCGCTCCTTGCTGTCTCTCTGGGTAGAATGGAGGAGCTGAGCTCCCTCTCAGGGAAGCAATTCCTCCTGGATCCCCACCTGCCGGAGCTGCTTGTCTTCCCGCCACAGACAGACTTCCATGAGAACCGGCTGTACGTCGCAGGGCATATCATACTGCAGGACAAGGTGTGGGGCTCGGGTGACACTGTGGTGAGGATGGAAAACTCAGGCTAAGGGGAGAAGTGCCAAGGGGTGGTTCTGCTGTGGAATGGAGTGAGGTATGGTGATGGGTGTCACAAGGCTATACAGGAAGGATGGGTGTTGTTTTTAGGCCACAACCCGCACGTACTTTGTAGCAAACTAAAGCTAAATTCTGTGGCTTTCTGGTGCAGCAACTTAAGATAGGTCTAAGAATTGGTGACCTTTAATGGGGCAGAATGGCCCAGATACGACCCTGAAGGATCATGCAGTTCCCATAGTTCTCAATATGCTGGAGATTTTTGTACTGACAGCTCCTAACTGCACTGTAGAAATTGCCTGGGGCAAACTGAGAGATGCAGGAGGCAGTTTGGGGTTGCGGGGTAAGGACTCAAGCTGGGTGTTTCTGCTAAAGAGCAATGACATAGTTAGCCTATCAACTCTGAAACCTCATGATGCTAGTTAAATGTCAATACCCCATCAAGACAAATGAGAGCAATTTGTGTCAGTCTCCGGCTTGCTGCAGACTGAGACAGCTGTCACTGCATTGGTTACTCTGTGTTGGAAAGCTATCTCCATAACTAGAAGGGTGACGGTTGTATTTTTATGGAAGTTTTGATTCCCCAGGCGGGGGTGGATTCTATGGCTGTGGAGTGACTTAGGGGAGTTTTCTGAAGAGATTGGGTAAATGTGTATATTGGGGAGGTAGGTACTGCAGGTGCAGAGCTGTGACTGGTGGTCTCTCTTCCAGGCCAGCTGCCTTCCTGCCTTCCTTCTGAGTCCCCCCTCAGAGGCCCATGTAATCGATGCCTGTGCTGCCCCCGGGAACAAGACCAGCCACATGGCCGCCATCCTGAAGAACAAGGGGTGAGTGTGAGCTGCGGGACAGAGCTGTGTGGGTGAGGGCTGCCTGCTGTTGTGATAAGCAGTTTTCCCAGTGCTGGGCACTGAAGCCCTGGCCTAGCAGCCGTTCTGATGAGGAACAGACAGCTGCAGCGGTACAGGAGCCAGCAAACAGAGCTGTAAACAGGGGAGTTTGAGTGGGAATTCTGTTGGGGGAGTTTGTGGGGAAGACTAAGAGCCAGGCAGAGGAACCGACAGGCTAGTGAGGGGAGTGTGTGGTGTTCTGGCAGTGTTGTGGTGCTTGATGGGGGTTGTTTATGCTGTGGGTGGTGGTGTTTGTTTCCCAGACTAACAGGACTTAAGTGAGAAGGCTATGACGGACACAGAGGCAGCAGTGGTAGTGACCCAGGCAGTGGAAGACACAATGAAGAGGACTGGATGTAGAAGCTGTGGCATGTACATGATCCTAGAGGGGGTACCTGAAAAGAGTTTTGTCTGCATGAAGTGCCACCTGATAGAGCTGATGGAAGAGAAGATCTGAGGATTGGAGATGCAGGTGGAAACTGTGGTCGAGTTTAGAAGGGGGTTCCAGGGATGATGGAGCAAAGACATGAGGAGGCTGAAGGGAAAAGCTCAGACCTGCAGATGGAAGCAGGACCAAAGAACTCTGAGGGGAGACTGCTGGGTGAGGAAAGTGGACAGTTAGAAGCATGTGACTAAGAACCAGGCAGAGGAAAAGATGGGCCAGTGAAGGAGAAACAGAGCTCAGGAACAGGTTTGCGGAGTTGGAAAATGAAGAAGGGGCACTGCAGGTGGTCACTGAAGGTGAGAGAGCAAGGAAAAAGAGAAGACCAGCTAGTCCTATTGGAAGAGGGCAAGAGTCAATGGAGATAACACCAAAGATGAGCCCCGGGAGGATATGGGATGGGTTGCAGAGGATTGCAAGGGACAATAGGAATCAAGAGGACTTGCAGCCAGAGGGAACAGGGGGTAGACTGGAGAATCGCACCATCACCAGGAAAAGGCAGGTCTACGTGATTGGGGACTCCTTACTGAGAAGAATAGACAAGCCTGTAACAAGAGCTGATCCAGAGAACAGAAGGGTGTGCTGTCTGCCGGGTGCTAAGATACGGGATGTGGACCTGAGGCTGAAGAGGATCCTAATGGGAGCAGGAAAGAATCCACTGATGGTCCTTCATGTGGGAACCAATGATATGGCTAGATTCTCGCTGGAATGTATCAAGGGAGACTGCCAGGCTGGGGAAGATGCTTAAGGAAATCGAGGCTCAGGTGATCTTCAGTAGGATTCTGCTTGTTCCTAGAGAAGGGCAACAAAGGTGTGATAAGATTATGATGATCAACAGATGGCTCAGGCAGTGGTGCTGTAAGGAGGGCTTTGGGATGTATGGCCACTGGAAAGCATTCATGGACAGAAGACTGTTCTTTCGGGATGGACTTCACCCGAGTAAGGAGGGAAATAGACTTCTAGGATGGAGGATGGTACAACTGATCAAGAGAGCTTTAAACTAGGAATCTGGGGGAAATGGTTGGGAGATGTCCAGGTAATCTCCATGCCAGATTTTAACGTTGAGAGGGAAGAAAACGAAGTAAGAAAGCATACAGCCGTGGGTAGGAGAATGGACATAAGGAGGAAGGGCAGTGTACATAGCAGTCTAATAGGTAATATTGGCTGTAGAATGTCTGTGCCTACGCGGGTAAAGAATGTGAACGAGGCCAAACAGCAAAAATTAAGATGTTTGTACACCAGTGCAAGGAGCCTAGGTAACAAAATGGAGGAACTAGAGCTACTGGTGCAGGAAGTGAAACCAGATATTCGAGGGATAACAGAAACATGGTGGAGTAGTAGTCATGACTGGAGTACCGGTATTGAAAGGAATGTGATGTTTAGGAAAGACAGAAATAAAGGCAAAGGTGGTGGAGTAGCATTGTCTATCAATGAGGAGGTAGACTGTAAATAAATAAGAAGTGATGGAATGGATAAGACAGTCTTTCTGGGCAAAAATCACATTGGGGAAGAAAGCTACTAGAGCCTGCCCTGGGATAGTGCTTGGGATGTGCTATAGACCACCGGGATCCGATCTGGATATGGATAGAGAATCTCTTTAATGTTTTTAATGAAGTAAATACTAATGGGAATTGTGTGATCATGGGAGACTAATTTCCCAGATATAGACTGGAGGACAAGTGCTAGTAATAATAATAGGGCTCAGATTTTCCTGGATGCGGTAGCTGATGGATTCCTTCATCAAGTAGTCGCTGAACCAACAAGAGGGGATGCCATTTTAGATTTGGTTTTGGTGAATAGTGAGGACCTCATAGAAGAAATGGTTGTAGGGGACAACCTTAGTTCAAGCTATCATGAGCTAATTCAGTTCAAACTAAATGGAAGGATAAACAAAAATAGATCTGTGACTAGGGTTTTTGATTTCAAAAGAGCTAACTTAAAAAAATTTAAGGAAATTACTTAGGGAAGTGGATTGGACTGAAGAACTTGTGGATCTAAAGGCGGAGGAGGCCTGGAATTACTTCAAAGTAAAAGCTGCAGAAACTATCAGAAGCCTGCATCCCAAGAAAGGGGAAAAATTCATAGGCAGGAGTTGTAGACCAAGCTGGATGAGCAAGGATTTTGGCGTTTTGGGCTGTATAAGTAGGGGCATTGCCCGCAGATCGAGGGATGTTTGTTCCCCTATATTCGACATTGGTGAGGCCTCATCTGGAGTACTGTGTCTAGTTTTGGGCCCCACGCTACAAGAAGGATGTGGAAAAATTGGAACAAGTCCAGTGGAGGGCAAAAAAAATGATTAGGGGACTGCAACACATGTCTTATGAGGAGAGGCTGAGGGAACTAGGATTGTTTAGTCCGTGGAACAGAAGAACGAGGGGGGATTTGATAGCTGCTTTCAACTACCTGAAAGGGGGTTCCAAAGAGGATGGATCTAGACTGTTCTCAGTGGTAGCAGATGACAGAACAAGGAGTAATGGTCTCGAGTTGCAGTGGGGGAGGTTTAGGTTGGATATCAGGAAAAACTTTTTCACTAGGAGGGTGGTGAAGCACTGGAATGGGTTCCTAGGGAGGTGGTGGAATCTCCTTCCTTAGAGGTTTTTAAGGTCAGGCTTGATAAAGCCCTGGCTGGAATGATTTAGTTGGAGATTGGTCCTGCTTTGAGCAGGAGGTTGGACTAGATGACCTCCTGAGGTCCCTTCCAACCCTAATATTCTGTGATTCTAAGCATCCTAGAGAGGTGATCAAGAAAAAGCAGAAGGGAGGTATCAGCAAGTAAAGCTACCTTACTGAGGTCAGAACATGTAGGGATAAAGTGAGAAAGGCCAAAAGCCATGCAGAGTTGGACCTTGCAAAGGGAATTAAAAGCAATAGTAAAAGGTTCTATAGCCATATAAATAAGAAAACAAAGAAAGAAGAAGTGGGACCGCTGAAGACTGAGGATGGAGTGGAGGTTAAGGATAATCTAGGCATGGCCCAATATCTAAACAAATACTTTGCCTCAGTCTTTAATGAGGAGTTTAGGGATAATGGTAGTACAACAAATGGGAAGGAGGATATGGAGGCAGATATTACCACATCTGAGATAAAAGCCAAACTTGAACAGCTTAATGGGACTAAATTGGGGGGCCCAGATAATCTTCATCCAAGAATATTAAAGGAACTGGCACATATAATTGCAAGCCCATTAGCAAAAAATTTTAATGAATCTGTAAACTCAGGGGTTGTACCGTATGACTGGAGAATTGCTAACATAGTTCTTATTTTTAAGAAAGGGAAAAAATGTGATCCGGGTAACTACAGGCCTGTTAGTTTGACATCTGTAGTATGCAAGGTCTTGGAAAAAATTTTGAAGGAGAAAGTAGTTAAGGACATTGAGGTCAATGGTAATTGGGACAAAGTACAACATGGTTTTACAAAAGGTAGATCGTGCCAAACCAACCTGATCTCTTTCTTTGAGAAGGTAACAGATTTTTTTAGACAAAGGAAACGCAGTGGATCTAATTTACCTAGGTTTCAGTAAGGCATTTGAGACCATGCCACATGGGGAATTATTAGTTAAATTGGAAAAGATGGGGATCAATATGAAAATGAAAGGTGGATAAGGAACTGGTTAAAGAGGAGACTATAACAGGTCACACTGAAAAATGAACTGTCAGGCTGGAAGGAAGTTACTAGTGGAGTTCCTCAGGGACCAATCTTATTTAATCTTTTTATTACTGACCTTGGCACAAAAAGCGGGAATGTGCTAATGAAGTTTGCAGATGAGACACAGCTGGGAGGTATTGCCAATTTAGAGAAGGACCGGGATATCCTACAGGAGGATCTGGATGACTTTGTAAACTGGAATAATAGTAATAGGATGAAATTTAATAGTGAAAAGTGCAAGGTCATGCATTTAGGAATTAATAACAAGAATTTTTGTTATAAACGGGGGACACATCACTTGGAAGTAACAGAGTAGGAGAAGGACCTCTGAGTATTGGTTGATCGCAGGATGACTATGAGCCGCCAGTGTGATATTGCCGTGAAAAAAGCAAATGCGGTCTTGGGATGCATCAGGCGAGGTATTTCCAGTAGAGATAAGGAGGTGTTGGTACCATTATACAAGGCACTGGTGAGACCTCATCTGGAATACTGTGTGCCGTTCTGGTCACCCATGTTTAAGAAAGATGAATTCGGAGTGGAACAGGTACAGAGAAGGACTACTAGGATGATCTGAGGAATGGAAAACCTGTCTTATGAAAGAAGACTCAAAGAGCTTGGCTTGTGTAGCCTAACCAAAAGAAGGTTGAGGGGAGATATGGTTGCTCTCTTTAAATATATCAGAGGGATAAATACCACGAAGGGAGAAGAATTATTTAAGCTCTGTACCAATGTGGACACAAGAAGAAATGGATATAAACTGGCCATCAGGAAGTTTAGACTTGCAATTAGACGAAGGTTTCTAACCATCAGAGGAGTGAAGTTCTGGAACAGCCTTCCAAGGGAAGCAGTGGGGGCAAAAGACATATCTGGCTTCAAGACTAAGCTTGATAAATTTATGGAAGGGATGATATGGGATAGCCTAATTTTGGCAATGAATTGATCTTTAACTATTAGCGGTAAATATGCCGAATGGCCCATGATGGGATGTTAGATGGGGTGGGATCTGAGAGAATTCTTTCCTGGGTGTCTGGCTGGTGAGGCTTGCCCACTTGCTCAGGGTTTAGCTGATAGCCATATTTGGGGTCGGGAAGGAATTTTCATCCAGGGCAGATTGGCAGAGGCCCGGGGTTTTTTTCGCCTTCCTCTGCAGCATGGGGCACGGGTCACTTGCTGGAGGATTCTCTACACCTCAAAGTCTTTAAGCCACAATTTGAGGACTTCAGTAGCTCAGACATAGGTTAAAAGTTTGTTACAGGAGTGGGTGGATGAGATTCTGTGGCCTGCGTCGTGCAGGAGGTCAGACTAGACCATCATAATGGTCCCTTCTGACCTTAAAGTCTATGATTCTGTGATTCCCTGGGAGGGAGGGATGCACGCTGTCTTTGGCCTCAGTTCTGCTCAGAGCCCTCTGGGTCCTACAGGAGCCTAGGAAAGCAGGACTACACAAGGGAAAGGGGCAAGCACTGGGGGAGCGGGCATGTTGGCTCTCACATGTGGGAACTGGGAATTGTTGTCAGCTTGTCTTGTTAGCTCTGTCCTTGTCTGAAATCAGTCCAGCACAGGGCAGCGTCTGTGGGGACTGCTGGCAGAGCACCAGCTGGAGAGTGAGGCTTGGGGAGGGACTTAAAAGCAACCAAAGACTCCGATTGGCAGCCGTTAATGTAGAGTCATAGGCCAGAAGGGACCATCAGATCATCTACTCTGGCTTGCTGTACGTTTCAGACCACCAGCACCTGCACACTAACCCAACAGCCAGAATGAGACCGAAGCATCACAGCCCATCAGAGACTAGACTGTTGTGTGCCACGGGGAGAGGATAGGAGGGACCAAGGTGCAGCAGTGCCCGAGACCCTGCAATGGCAGGGAAACTATTAAGATATACCCAGATGTTCCTGGCAAGTGACCTGTACCCACCCACTGCAGAGCAAGGTGAACCCCCTCCTCCCCCAGCATGCTGCCAGCTGTGCTCCGGCTCCTCTTGCAGTGGTGGGAAGGAGGTGCTATACCCCTGGGGGAAGTGGGTTAATCGACTTAAGGATGTACTTGGCCAAAACTGCTTTGGTTGTCGGAGAATTTCTGCGTGCCTGGGGTTGTGGGTCTGGCAATGAAGGTAGGGCCCTGTCTGCCAGGTAATGATTCCTGTATTCCTCTTTGGGGCATTACATTCAGGCAGATCTTCGCCTTTGACCTGGACCCCAACCGCTTGGCCACCATGAGCACCATGCTGGTGCAGGCTGGGGTTAGCTGTTGTGAACTGGCCAATCAGGACTTCCTGACAATTGACCCCAGTGACCCCAAGTACAACAATGTGACCTACATTCTCCTGGACCCCTCATGCAGCGGCTCAGGTAAGGGGTGGGGGTAGGCCAGGCCTATGCAGTACAAACAGGGTGGTGGTTATACTCATCTGGTGTACCTGTCTGAGTATCTCTCCATCTAGGGCTGCCCATTCCAGCCTATGGGAAGGATCCTGGGGCCCTGATTCTCCCCACAGGATACACTGAAGTCAGTGGGGTTGGTGGAGAATAGACCTTTGGATGCAAAGCCTGGAACAGAGGGGAGCCCAGCAGCTGGGTGATACGGGTGCCTGAATTGGAGCCCAGCTTGTCCATGCCTCTCTGACTGTCTCTCCCCCCAGGAATGGTGAACCGGCTGCCAGCTGAGGAGAGTGCCCCCAGCTCGGAGCGGCTGCGGGCGCTGGCTGGGTTCCAGCGCAAAGCCCTGAGCCATGCCCTGCGCTTCCCTGCCCTCCAGCGCCTGGCTTACTCCACCTGCTCGGTGCAGCAGGAGGAGAACGAGGATGTGGTGTGGGATGTGCTCCAGGAACATGGCACAGCATTCAGGTACCGACACATGGGCTGTAGCTGGGTCTGCAATAAACAGTGTGTGTGGGTGCCCGTGGCTAGATGGAAGTGGAATTGCCCACTGGGCGGGGGACAAGCCAGGCAGCATTGTTAGTATCTGCTCCCTGTGTTTCCTGTTGGGGGGGGGGGGGGGGGGGGCTGAGGGCATCGTTTGAGGCAGCTCTGAGGCCCGGGGGCTCTAGCCAGTGGTTCCAAAGAGGCAAGTTTCCCCGCCTCACTGTCACAGGCAGCTGGCCAGCTGGGCACTTAGGCCTCTGGGTTGGTGCCCTGCAGCGGAGCGGGCAGTGGCTAGCTGGGTCACTGAGCTTTGTCGTGATCTTGACCCCGCTCACAGGTTGGTAAACGTGCTGCCTTCCTGGCCCCATCGAGGCCTCGCCACCTTCCCAGGTGCGGAGTGCTGCCTCCGAGCCTGCCCCACAGCGACGCTGACAAACGGCTTCTTTGTTGCCGTGCTGGAGAGGCAGCAGGAATGCAACAGCCAGGTCTCCTCCAGGTGAGAGCTCTGCGGCTAGAATCATAGAATATCAGGGTTGGCAGGGACCTCAGGAGGTCATCTCGTCCAACCCCCTGCCCAAAGCAGGACCAATCCCAACTAAATCATCCCAGCCAGGGCTTTGTCAAGTCGGGCCTTAAAAACTTCTAAGGAAGGAGATTCCACCACCTCCCTAGGTAACACATTCCAGTGTTCCACCACCCTCCTAGTGAAAAAGTTTTTCCTAATATCCAACCTAAATCTCCCCCACTGCAACTTGAGACCATTACTCCTTGTTCTGTCATCTGCTACCACTGAGAACAGTCTAGAGCCATCCTCTTTGGAACCCCCTTTCAGGTAGTTGAAAGCAGCTATCAAATCCCCCCTCATTCTTCTCTTCTGAAGACTAAACATCCCCAGTTCTGTCAGCCTTTCCTCATAAGTCATGTGTTCCAGTCCCCTAATCATTTGTGTTGCCCTCCGCTGGACTCTTTCCAATTTTTCCACATCCTTCTTGTAGTGTGGGGCCCAAAACTGGACACAATACTCCAGATGAGGCCTCACCAATGTTGAATAGAGGGGAACGATCACGTCCCTCGATCTGCTGGCAATGCCCCTACTTATACATCCCAAAATGCCATTGGCCTTCTTGGCAACAAGGGCACACTGTTGACTCATATCCAGCTTCTTGTCCACTGTAACCCCTACGTCCTTTTTTGCAGAACTGCTGTCGAGCCATTCGGTCCCTAGTCTGTAGCAGTGCATGGGGTTCTTCCGTCCTAAGTGCAGGACTCTGCACTTGTCCTTGTTGAACCTCATCAGATTTCTTTTGGCCCAATCCCCCAATTTGTCTAGGCCCCTCTGTATCCTATCCCTACCCTCCAGCATATCTACTTCTCCTCCCAGTTTAGTGTCCTCTGCAAACTTGCTGAGGGTGCAATCCACACCATCCGCCAGATCATTTATGAAGATATTGAACAAAACTGGCCCGAGGACCAACCCTTGAGGCACTCCACTTGATACCGTCTGCCAACTAGACATGGAGCCATTGATCACTACCCGTTGAGCCCAACAATCTAGCCAGCTTTCTATCCACCTTATAGGGGCAAGGGGCTGGGGCTTGCCCTCTGTTCTTTTTGCAGGGCCTAGCACTGCCTTAAAGGCTCTGGTTAGAAATCCTCTGTTGGATGTGGTGCAGAGAGGCTGGCAGCACCATGCCCTGGGCATGCTGCATCTTGCTGAGTTGGTTTGACACAATTTACCTTTTGTAAAACCATGTTGTATTTTGTCCCAATTACCATTGACCTCAATGTCCTTAACTACTTTCTCCTTCAGAATTTTTTCTAAGACCTTGCATACTACAGATGTCAAACTAACAGGCCTGTAGTTACCTGGATCACACTTTTTCCCTTCCTTAAAAATAGGAACTATGTTGCATTTCCATTGTGCAGGCTGTCCGACAAGGCCCGCTGTCCTGCAGCACCTGGGCTGGGGGGGGAACCATAGGGGGCAGGATTCCTGCAAAAAGTGGCTTTGAAGGAGCTCATTGATCCTGAGGTGAGGTTACCCTCTAGCTGGGAGGAGGGACAGCAGGAGGCAGTGAGCTGTAGGGCCTTAGGGAAGGGCGTAGATTGGAGGGGAGCCAGCTGAGGGAGGTGATGGAGGTCAGAGCTGGGGGTTGGGAGAGAAAGTAGCTGGGGGTGGGGAAAGGGGGAGATTGTGCTGAATCCAGGGGCCGGGCAGGAGGAGTCGGATGGCAGATTTGTGGAGTTGTCAGTGTCAATAGAAGCAAGGCTGGGGAACAATGTCTAGTGGCGGGACGGCCAGTCTGTTGGGGCACTGCTCTGTTGGGAAGGTGACTTTGTCCCACCAGTAACTCTTGCTGCTCTGGGCTCTCCTCCGGCTGTTGCTTCCAGCTCCCTTCTTGCCGAGGTGGACGGTGGAGCAGAGAGATCCCAGGATGGAGAGGGAAGGGGCCCTCTCGCCGCCCGCAAGAAGAGGCGGAAGAAGAGCCAGTGTGTGAAATGAGGACTCTTGACAGGAGCAGCGGTGGCCCTGTGGTGGCAGCCTTAGAGCCAGGCTTCTGCCAGCCGCCTGCCTATCCTGCTGGCAGAACTCGGAGCCCTGAGGCTGGAGCCCCTTGCTGCGTCAGCCCTGTGCTGCTGGCAAGCTTTCCCTCCATGGGGCTGGTCCGAACAGATGTTTTTGCTGTCGAAGGGGGTTGTCTAAGCCGCTGCCAGTCCAGCCGCTGGGGGTGCTGTGGCCCCAGCCTGGGTCAGGGTGGGAGTAAAGCTTTCCAACCCCTTTCAGGTTTTGTCTTGAGTAAGTTTCTCTGAGCCCCAGTCTGTAGAAATGCTGCTGCAGTGCGGGCCCCAGGGACACCACCTGCGCATGGGCTCAGACTCCAACCTGCGCTCTTGATGGGCTCTTCTATGAGAGTAAGATACAAACCAAGAGCTCGCCGATGACTCCACTCAATGCAATCCGTCAGCTCCCCTTCGCAAGCAGGTGTCTTGGCCAGCAGACAGGCGTGGGCCAGGTTATGTTGTTGTATGGTCCTTCCTGTCTCTCAATCCAGAACTGCTTTCTGGCCTCCCTGACTTTTGCTCCTGGGAGGGGTTGAGCATCAACTTTGTCTGACTCTTGCTGGTCTCTTCTGTCGCTGGAGGCCAGCCAAGCCTTTAGGTGAGAGCTTGGCAGCTTTGGAGGGGGAGAAAAGGGACACTGGCTGCACATGGGAAGCAGCACTGCAGTGGGTTGGGGTGAGGAAGAACAGCTGTGGCTAGAGCAGCTGAACTCAAGGGGGCAGATCTGTGGCTGTTTTCATAAGCCTTTCTCTGTGAGCCATGAGCGCTGCTGCCTGTTGTTAGCAGCCAGCCCCAGGACAGCCTTGGGAGGAGGAATTTCAACTGCCAAATGACCACCCTCAGTGCTTGCTCTTCCCTGCCCTATGCCTGTGTCGAGTTCTGTCAGGGCTGTGCACTGGGCTACCTCCTGTCACCACCCACAGCTTCACCCCTCCTGCACTCTCCCTGCATGTGAGCACAACGCAGCCCTCCCTTGGGTATAGCAGGGCAGCGCCTGGAGAGAGAAGTACAGGTTACAGTGATGAAATGGGGAAGAATCCTGGGTTACTGGCTAAGCCCTAGCCCACCAGAACCCACTGAGAGTTCAAGGCGGCCAGTAAATCCAGACAGGAGCTCCTGAGCCGGTGTGTTTAGCTTGGACAATGAAATCTGCTCCCTTATAAGCACTGCCACTGTTCCAGTGCCGGGGGCTCTAGGCTCTCCCCCTCGCTGAGGAGCACAGCCAGCTATTTCGGTGCTCGTGTTCCATGGGCCATGAGTTTGCTCACCGGGCTGAAATAAGCTCAGTGAGGAATTTGCATTCTTTCTACCTGCAGCCGTTGGGCCTGCTGAGTAAAAGGACTGCAGAACTCTGGAAACCAAGGCACCCTGCAGAGAGGCTGAAACGTCAAGCCCTGGTTTTCACAAGTGACCAGTGTACTTGGGTGTTTCGCTTGATACCTTAGAGGGGCCTGATTTTCAACATGGCTCACATGATCCTTGAAATGACGACTCACATAGGGGCTGCTGTGACTGAAGTGGAGATACCGAAGCCAGCACTGCCATTGATGGCTGAGTTCAGTACTTCACACAAATGCTCTTGGTTCTCCAGCAGGTATCTAAGGGTAGGCCCCAGCTCAAAACACCAGCCTTCGCTTCTGGCTTCCGGCTTCCTTTTTCTTCCCGTCTCCCATTTGAAGGGACCATTCTATTAAAAATGACCAATTCAAAAAGATTTCTTTCCTCACAATTTGTACCTAAGCTGTGAACTCAGTCCCAAGGGATGAAATGTGGCCACAAATTTAGTAAAATTAAAAGGCAGGGGACATTTAACAAGACTATCCAAAGTTATAATTAGGAAGGCCAAAAAAGAATTTAAAGCACAGCTAGCCCAAAGCCTCAAAAAGTAAGAGCAAAAAGATTTTTAAGTACACCAGAAGCAGGAAGCCTGCTAAACAACCAGTGGGGCCATTGGACGATTGAGCTGCTAACGAGCACTCGAGGTTGATACGGCCGTAGCAGAGAAGCTACATGAATTTTTTGCATCGTTCTTCACGGCTGAGGATGTGAGGTAGATTGACACCTGAGCCATTTTCTTTAGGTGACAAAGCTGAGGAACTGTCCCAGATTGAGGTGTCATTAGAGGAGGTTTGGGAACAAATTTACTATTTAATTTATCATAAGTCACCAGGACCAGATGGCATTCCGCCAAGACTTCTGAAGGAACTCAAAGGTGAAAGTGCAGAACTACTAACTGTGGTTTGTAACCTGTCATTTAAATCAGTTTCTGTACCAAATGCCTGGAGGATAGCTAATGTGATGCCAATTTTTAAAAAAGGCTCCAGAGGCTGGTAAGCCTCACTTCAGTACCAGGCAAACTCGCTGAAACTATAGTAAAGAACAGAATTGTCAGACTCAGAGATGAATGTAATTTGTTGGGGAAGAGTCAACATGGTTTTAAGAAAAGGAGGACTTATGGCACCTTAGAGACTTTATTAGAGCATAAGCTTTTGTGAGCTATAGCTCACTTCATCGGATGCATGTTTTTAGTAATGGTTTTAGTAAAGGGAAATCATGCCGCACCGACCTACTAGAATTCTTTGAGGGGGTTAACAAGCATGTGGACAGGGGGGACTCCAGTGAATAAAGTGTACTGAGAGATTTTCAGAAAGCCTTTGACAAGGACCCTCATCAAAGGCTCTTAAGCACAGTAAACTGTCATGGGATAGTCCCCTCATGGATCAGTAACTGGTTAAAAGATAGGAAACAAAGGGTAGGAATAAATGGTCAGTTTTCAGAATGGAGAGAGGTAAATAGTGGTGTCCCCCAGGGGTCTGTACTGGGACCAGTCCTATTCAACAATGACCTGGAAAAAGGGGTAAACAGTGAGGTGGCAAAATTTGCAGATGATACAAAACTACTCAAGATAGTTAAGTCCCAGGCAGACTGCGAAGAGCTACAAAGGGATCTCACAAAACTGGGTGACTGGGCAATAGAATGGCAGATGAAATTCAAAGTAATGCACATTGGAAAACATCATCCCAACTCTACATATACAATGACGGGGTCTAAATTAGCTGTTACCACTCAAGAAAGAGATCTTGGAGTCAGTGTGGATCGTTCTCTGAAAACATTTGCTCAATGTGCAGCAGCTGTCAAAAAAGCCAACAATGTTGGAAATCATTAAAAAAGGGATAGATAAGACAGAAAATATCATATTGCCTCTATATAAATCCACAGTATTCCCACATCTTGAATACTGCGTGCAAATGTGGTTGTCCCATCTCAAAAAAGATATATTGGAATTGGAAAAGGTTCAGAAAAGAACAAAAATGATTAGGGGTTTGGAACAGCTTCTGTATGAGGAGAGATTAATAAGACTGGGACTTTTCAGCTTGGAAAAGAGATGACTAAGGGGGGGATATGATAGAGGTCTATAAAATCACAACTGGTGTGGAGAAAGTAAATAAGTGTTACTCATTTTCATAACACAAGAACTCAGGGTCACCAAATGAAATTAATAGGCACTAGGTTTAAAAGTATTTCTTCACACAACGCAGTGTCAACCTGTGGAACTCTTTGCCAGAGGATGTTGTGAAGGCCAAAACTATAAGAGGATTAAAAAAAAAGGAGATAAATTCATGGCGGATAGGTCCAACAAGAGCTATTAGCCAGGATGGTGTCCCTAGCCTCTGTTTGCCAGAAGCCAGGAATGGGTAACCAGAGGGTTCACTTTATGGTGACCTGTTCTGTTCATTCCTTCTGCAGCACCTGGCATTGGCCACTGTCAGAAGACCGGATATTGGGCTAGATGGACCATTGGTCTGACCAAGCCAGACAGTTCTTAGTCTAGTTAATGCATTAACTGAGAGAGACCTGCCTGATGGTTTAGGAGGAAACCTCTTGTGGAGAACAGATTCTTACTTAAGGGGCAATTTCTTGCACCTTCCTGTGAAGCGTCTGGTACTGGCAGCTGGCAGACAGGACACTGGCTTTGATGGTCTTCAGCTCTGAGCAGCTGGCGATTGCTATGTTCCTTTCTTCCTGGCCTCCTCCAAGCAGCATGGATCATATTTCTAGCTAGAGCCAGGGGACCTTCAGCTTTGGTACAGCCACACACCACCCACCTACAGCCACTTTTACCCCCAGACTAACGGGCACAGGGCCTCTCTTCCTACAACTGATGTGTGATGCATTCCCACTGGGCCAGGCTAGGACACACTTTTCTGTACTATTTGCAGACTAAGGGTAAAGAGCATCCTACTAGACACAGGGTCTTGAGATTATTCTAGTGAGGGCAGGATTGATTCAGTGCAGGAAGGCTCTACCAATTTTGCTGTATTAACCACACACAAGGATTGATCTGTGAGTAGCAGCTGCAGGAGAGCAATCCAGCAGCTGACCGGATCAAGGGGATGGCCGCAGTCTGATGAGCACTAGGCAGGCAGCCGCACAGGGGTTCTCAACACTTGTTGGTGGCCTCAGAGTGTGGCCACCAACTGCTGCTGGTGGCTGCTCTGACATTTTCCTAACTTTAGGAAAAAATAATAAATATGCACATCCAAATCATTGTAATTTAGGTGTGTAGGGGTTTTTTGCAGACTCAAAATTTATTTTGGTGCCCTTGACCCCCACCCATCACCTCTGGCCCCCAATGCCTCTCCCTGCCCCTCATGCATCCCCTTAGGCCTCCACAGCCTCCCCCTACAGATCCCCCAGCCCCACTGCCTCTTCATCCTCCCCTGGGTCCCCACTGCTTCCCCCCCTCCATTGTCAAGCTCCCTTCTGCAGCCTTGCACTTCAGGCTCACCCCGCTCCTTGCCTCTTGACCATGGTGCCCAGTAAGGCTGGCCGGGCTGAAGCCCAGAGCCCCATGGCTGGATTTGGGGTGGGGGGCTGAAGCCCAGAGCCCTGCAACCAAAGATGTGGGGGCTGAATCATGGATCCCACTGCCAGAGCCCCAAGGCTGAAGGGGGGTGGGGGGGAAAGAGGTTGAACCTGTCCCCAAAACCCTATAGCCAAAGCAAGAGCCTTGCAGCTGAAGGGGGGGGGGGGGAAGCCTGCCGTCCAAGTCTCTGAATCAGGAGAGGGGGGCTGAAGCCCACCCTGTATGCTGCAGGGAGGGGGTGCTGCTTTGCGGCCTGCCCCATCTCTGCCCAGGAGGCTGTTGTGGCCGCAGGAAGAACCAGATGGCCACATACAGCTACATTTGAGAAATGCTGCTCTCGAATGGCGCAGAGTGGCTGTTGCTGCCTGAGCCTACCCCTTCCATCTCCCAGGCGTGGCCAGCCAGGGTGGAGCTGGGGCTGCCCAGGACACAAAGCAACTGGTGCAAGAACAGCCAGAATCGAGCACAATTTTGTTTTTATTTTAAATCAATGACATAAGCAAGGGAAAAAATTGCACATTCACACTAAAAATCCCCACCAGCTGCACCAGGAATGATCTAAGTTTTCATTTGTAATTAAAAAAAACCCAGCCTCCCACCCCTGTCAACATTCACGTACTGTAGCCCACTCAGGTTTGCAACGCACACAGTTCTCACCCAGCCGCTACAGAGGAAGCCGGGCAGCGGAAGGTCTCTGTGCAATAAGCAGATGGGGTCCTTTAGAGCAGCGGCCTGGTCACTAGGCAGCTTTGGTATTTGCTAATCACAGCAGAGAACGGTGGGAGAGCTTGGAAAACTCAGGCCCAGCAGAACTGCGTTAGAAAAAGAGGAAAGGGCCATTGACAAACACAAGCCCAACCAAGGTACAGCAAAGTGACTCGTTACTGCTGCTAAATGGCTTGGTAGTTTAGAGCACCAGCACGAGACCAGGGCCAGTTTAAAAACAAGCCCAGGGTAACACTCTAGCAAGTGTCTGAACCAGCCCCCCCGGTCTGTGGTGGTATCTGGACCCTATTACTTCTTCCTACCCTGGTTCTTTCACTGGACTAGCCTGAAACCTCCGTGCCCTGAAGACTGATTATGAACATGGTTTGTTTCCGGGCACAAACCACTGCACAGGGCTCTTTTGGGTTGCTGATAATTTATTCTATAAATAGAGACCAACCACCCACCATTGTTCTGTTCCGCTCTTCCACCAGCCCCAGCAACCTGCCTCTGATGTGGAATACCAAGACAGCCTGGAGTTCAGCTCTGAAATGCATTACACCCCATTGGTGTGAACAGGGGCCTCAGATGCAATATACTCCCAACAGAGTTTAATTAGCCTGCAGGAGCCCAGCTGTGTGAGGCGCAAGAGGCCTCCTCCTTATATTCTGCTGCAGGGCGTTAGAATTGCAGTAAGTTACACACCAATGCAGCATAACATGGCCAGAAAACTTAATACGTGGCCTCTACCTCGTAGGTCACCTCTAGCCTAGCACCGCCATGAACGGAGATAGATGGGAGGCTGGGCAGAATGGGCTTGTGCTGGAGGAAAGTCAACTGAGGTAACCAGAAGAGCTGCCTCCTCTTGCTAACGGAGCTCTGTAGGCCAGTTCCCTCAGGCCCGTCTCCCAGGAATACAGGCACGTGGGAGCAGGCCTGCCAGCGGTCACAGCAGCGAGCACCAACACCTACCTTGATCTCTGCTCACTGGCTGACACTGAACTCTCCTCTTTTTTCTGGGTAGAAGCAATTCTTGTATCTAAGCCAGCGAGCAAAGACATCCACGAACCAACAGCCACGGACCATTCACAGCGTGTCAGAACCAAACCGCCCCAATTCCCAGTGGATTTGGGAAGCTCCAGATCCTCTGAACACAGCATACATTGCCCCCCTCCCCCCCGAAGGCAGCAGGCTGGAAAAGCACAGGCCTGACACCAGCGATGAATGAGTGGTCGCCCGACAGGACAGCGCGTGGGCCCAGACAGGTGCTCGGCAGCAAGGAGAGAAGTGCCGCTACGGCCTCTCAGGTGAGGGGTGGGGGTCTGGGACCAGTTTTAAGGTATGAGCCCCTTCACCTCATTTTCCAAAACCGTGCGAAGAGTCAGACTGAAATGAGACTCCCGCAAGGCTGGGCCGGTGCTCTTTACATGGTTGGGCAGTGCCCATGGACCGGGGAGAGCCCCCCACAGCCCACAATGGCTGCTTTGGTACCCTAAGGAAAGGCTGGAAAGCAGCCCAACACCAGGCAGCTATAGCCCTCCAAAGGGGCAGGGGTGAGTGCAGCGCAACCTCCACCCCCACACTCTAAAGGGAGCCACCTCCCAGCTGCTAGAGCCCAGAGACTTTCCGCCCATGTCCTGCCTCCCCAGCCAGGAGAGGCTCATTGTTCCTGGAAGAAAAAAATAACACCCAACTCTCTCTGACGTGCAAGAGCTCCTAAGCCTCAGTCTCAAGGAAAAATAAAAAAGTTTAGTCACATCCACATACAGCACATTATAAAAGAATTAAGTACATTTCATGTAACATTGACTGTCAGGGGAGAAGCAGCCCTGGCAGTTCCTGCCAGCAGGAAGAGAATGCACCCACTCGGACAGAGCAGGCCAGCCCTTCCTGCCCCCACGCCTCTGGGCAAAGCACCACATGGGCTAGCTGCCCTTCCCAGCTGCTAGCCCAGCCTGCCATGGCTGGCAGGGGTGGGTTCCAGGCCTGCAAGGGACCACTTCCTCCTCCCCAGAGGTAACTGCACAGCTAAATCCTAGTCAACAGCTTTGAACTTTTGACCACCTCAGTGAACCAAGCTTGAAGGAATTCAAAGGCAATTTAGCTTAAATATAAAAATAAATTTTTATTTTCTTAAAAAATGTTTAAATATCTGTTAATTTAGGATTCGGCAGACACACACTCACACCTCTGAGTAGTAAAAAGATCTGGCGGCCAGAGTCACTCTTGGAACGTGGGGGAGTCATAGGGGCCTAGGCCTTTGGCGTGTCAGCCCCTCTCCCCGAGGCACACAAGGCATCCTCCCAATGAAAGCTCCCCAGAGGCTGCGGGCAACAGAGGGAATAGAAGCCCTGGCCCACTCCGCTCCAAGATACAGGGGCAGCCCCAGGAGCACCCCCCGCTGGCTCCCACTGGGCCCCTGGAGCCAGTCTCAGTGGGGAGCAGCTAGAAAGTTTAACAAGGGGGCAAAAAGCAGAGTCCTAAGCATGTCAGTTGGGGATTCTTTCCCTTTAGTGGCTTCAGGCAGGGTCTGCAGCTCCGTGCAGTCCCAGGGAAGCCTGGCACTGAAGGGAAGCAAGAAGGGACATGTGCTACAGACCATGCGTAGACAAGAGCAAGCTGGGTTTGACACAGGGGAGAGAAGAGCTAGGCTTGGAGCAGGGCATGACAGCAAAGAGGCTGCCAAACCGTGACCTAGGGAACCCTTCCAGCCCCATGCATCCCGAGGGCCCTATGGCCCCCCACGCCCCAGGCTGCCATCCTTTCAGTCATCACATTTAGATACAGAGTTCACTCAGCACTAGTAGCCACACAATGATGCTACTCTCAACACCCAATTAGGCAGGGCACATCCCCCACTAGGAGACAGCCTCCCCGCAAAATCTTTACACAGCAAATCCGGCATTACCAACATGCCGCCACTCACACGGTTCAATTCTTCCTCCAAGCTCGATTCAATGAGCGAACAAACAGGAGCAAATATACGAAGAGCACAACAGACAGTGCTTAGACAGGAGCAGGGAAAACTACAGGAGCATGACGACGGGAGAGGGCAGTAAGTGACAGCGTCCCACCTCCTCTGGGCAGGGGTTCTGCTCGTTTCGGGCGTGGCAGAACACCTCTGGTGCACCAAAGGCACCACCCTCCTGCCTTCCCTGGCTGCAGAGGCTAGGTTACCCCCTGCAATGGGCAGCTCTGCCAACCTATCCTAGGTTCCCGCAGGAGACGAAAGATGCTGAGTTGCAAGGTCTGCTTAGGAGCATTCAAAGGCAGATTGCTCACAGCGGTAATTAGGCCCAGATGCAGGAGCTGGATGGTGGTCTGTCTGGAGCACCAAGAGTTACTCCCCAACACACAGGGACTCGGTCCAGTCCCACCTACTAGATTTGCCCAGGCCAGATGTCTGGCAAGTCAGCACCTGCCAGTTCAAACCAGAGGCTGGAGTCCCATAGGAGGAGGGGGGAGAGGTGTGTTTACCAAGTCATGAGATCACCATGCAGGGAAAGGCCTCTGGAGCCAGCGAAGACACCCTCCCTCCAGGGCCAGCAGCCACGAAGCAGACTGGGAACACATCTGCCTGGAGGGAAGAGCCTCACTTACAGCAAAGCTACAAGGGGGAAGAATGCAGGGACACAGCAAGCGAAGGAGCAGAACACGGGTTTCCATTCAGGCACAGGGAACGTGCATATGGGCCGGCACCATGCGCACATCCCCTCGTCCCCCCACTCCACGCACTCGGTACATGGCGGATGGGCAAGGCTCAACTGTCAGGTCAGGAGAGCACAGGAGCCGCTAGATGAAGCCCTGGAGAAAGAAGGGAGAAGAGGAACACTGCTGATATGTACAGAGTTTATCCAGTCTCGGCCGTGGAACTGTTCAAGTACGAAGGGTTTGGTTTATCCTGTCCTGCGTCGCCCAGAAGTGTCTCCAACTGATTTCAGAAGCGAGCGCCTGACCCCAGGGCCCTGGCTGCTCGTCAGAAGGGTTACTTAGAACTAGGCCCCTTTGCTCACGTAGCTGGCGGGGCTCTTCACAGCCGGGCCAGAGCTACGATCCAACGGAAGAGCCAAGAGGCTACTTTTTGCGGGGGTGCTGCCTTCGTGCCTGCAGCCGCTGACGGGGCCCAGTCTTGGATCCTGCCCCGATAGAAAATGCAGGGGCTGATGGTCCTGGAGGCGAGAGAGATTGCATGGGCCACTGCCAGCCTTAACCAAGAGGGATGCAGTCCTCCCCATGACCCAACCTTCCCACCATCCCAGGGAGCAGGCAGGCAAATGCTGTCTTCCAGGACCAGTTGTCAGACATATTTCCAGCCACCCAACGGCCAGCCCACACTCACCCACCTCTGGGAGCCTGTCTGAAGTCAGTGCAGCACACAGCAGGCTCTGCATTAGCGGCAGGGCTCCTACTGACACCCCAATCACCCCCCATGTTGCAGACCTGGGGGAAGAGGAAGCCATGAGGAAAGTCTCTTACCAAATGGAGGCCTTGCTCCTCCGAAGCCCGACCCGGGAGTGCTGGGGGTCCCGAAGGAAAGGCTGTTGCTCCCGACAGGTCCTGCTCCTGAGGCAGGCGTGCTCTGCCCAAAGGAGGGAGTGGGAGATCCTGAAAACAACACAGCGCTGTCAGCCTTGGTTAGAGGAGCAGGACGGGGAGTCTGTGTCAAGGCCACAGCAGGATAGGGGCCTGGTGCACTTTGGGGAAGCTTCTGCTCCACGGGGGGGTTACAGCTCAGCCAGGGGAGGAAGGAGAAGATGAGAACAGACTGTGCAGGGGCTGGAACATGTCCACCCGGCCTCCCAACAGGAAGAGGTGACGTGCACTCCCCACTAACCCCAGAGGGTTTCCATTTCCCTCTTTCCCAAGGTGGCCACCTCCCCTCTCCCCCTGAAATACTTGAGTTCCTGGGAAAACTGGCTCCTGCATCTCCCATCCACTCCCTTCCTATTTCCTGGAGCCTCCATTCAGCAGACCCATGGGACAGAACAGGCTGGGGAGAGCTTACTCTACTGGCTGGCGCAAAAAGACCTTTGTACAGCTCAGTCTATTAGAAGAGTGACCCCAGCCCATTCCTTCCCCTGCGGAGCTGAGCTACGTGGATGCACCCCTCACAGACACACCGCTACAAGCTGGAGTGGTCCCCAGTCTATGCAAAGACTGGAAATACAGTCATCTGGGATTCTCCTGATCCCAAGGAATGGCTCATGGCAGAGGGGGCAAAATATCAACAGCGCCAGCCCTAAGTGTAGAGGGGTGAGGAATAAAGGGAGAATGAAAGCACAGCAAGGTCACTGCCTAGATCCACTCAAGCCTCTCACTTCCTCCTCATGCCAGCTCGAAGGAGAGGCCCAGCCTTCGTCCCAAACAGGGCTAAGCAGACTTTCCTCCCCTGCACCTTACCTCCAAACACAGGCTTGCTGTCAGGAGTGCCAGGCACAGCGAAGGCGAATGGCGCACTCTGGTTTTGGGCACCCAGCGTGTTCTGTGTCAAAGAAGAACCAAAGGGGGTTGCTGCGCTTGCCGATCCGTTCTGTCCAGCCCCAAAACTGAATGCCACTGCGGGGGTGCCCCCACTCGGGGCAGGCGCTCCCATGCCAAAGGTACTGGCACCTGTGCTCTGCTGGCTGGGCCCCCCAAAGGGGAATGGGGAGGGGGTGCTTCCGCCAAATACCATGCTACCCGTACTGCTCTTTGTAGGCTGGGTGTTGGAGCCAAAACTTGACACGGTTGAAGTGGCAGCTGTTCCGAAGGAGAACACGGATGTGGTGCCTCCGAAAACTGGCTGGGAGCTGTTCCCAAAGGCCGGCTGTGCTGCGGACTGGGCCGCGGAGGCCCCAAAGCCGAAAGCGGGGGTACTGAAGCTTGCTGGGCCAGCGGCAGGTTTGCTGGTGGGCTGCTGGCTCTCCGGGGCGCCAGTGGCAAACGCAGGCTGACCAGCTGCACCAGGATACGGAGGGGGCAGTTTTGCACCTGTTCCAAAGGAACCCCCAAATGCAGCAGTGGAGGAACCAAACGACAGCGTTGACTGACTGGTGGTTGGTGGGGTAGAAGAGGTCAGATTTGTGCCCCCAAAGATATTAAAGCCAGCGGTGGTGCTGGGAGCAGCCTGTGCTGCATTCAAGGGCACGGGGCCAAAGGCGGAGCCTGCTGGAACGCTGGTAGTGGGGGCTGCGGGGGCTGCAGGCTTTCCAAACTGGAAGACAGGAGCGGTAGGCGTGAAGCTGGCTGCTGTGCTAGGGGCCGGGTTTGGAGAGGCTCCGAACAGGAACGGCTGGCTTGCTCGGGCGGAGATGGGAGCAGCGACAGTTGTGCTGTGGGAGACACTGGTGGCAAGCGGCACGCCGAGTCCAAAGCTGAAGGCCGGCTTTGTGCTGGAGTCAGTGGTGGCACCCGGTGGGCTGGCAGTGGTAGCTGCCGTCGTAAAGACGGCGTTGGGGAGGCCGGTGAAGACAGAGGTGGTGTCTGTAGTGGAAGTTACTGTCAGGTCAGCAGCTGGGGCTGGCTGAGGTGTCTGCTTGAATGTGAAAGGAGACGCTGTTGCTCCAGGGGCAGCACCAGCTGCTACGTTCCCAAAGAGGGGCTTGAATGTGGTGGTGGCGGCAGAGGAAGCAGCTGTTGAGGGAGGCACGGAGCCAGTAGCTGCTGCGACTGCCAGAGAGGTGCCTGCTGCAGAGAGCGCCCCACTCTCGCTTTTTGGCAGGGTGCCAAAGATTGGTTTGAACATGGGGATGGCTGCGGGTGCAGTGGATGCTGCCGCTGGTCCAGGCTGGCTGGCTGGCGGTGTACTCAGCATCCCAAAGAGAATGCTGGGCTTTGGTGGGGAGGACGTCTTGGTGGGGGTCTGGCCCAGGTCGGATGAAGCAGGAATTGCCAGGTTGCTCACACTGCTGGCAGGCTGAACAGTGGAAGAGGGAGGGGCCAAGGGAGCAGGCAAGTTTAATGTCAGCGCAGGCTTGGAGTCAGACACGGTTGCAGGGAGTGAACCTGAATCCAGCAATACCGTGGGAACTGTCAGAGGCAGCTGAGATGTCACTGCAGCCCCAGTCGAATCTGTGGAAGAGGGAAAATCATTTACAGATGAACAGATGACTGATTACCAGAGTCTGATTTGTGTGATGAAGGAAGTCGACTCGGTGGGCTGGGGGAAGATGATCAAGTTGCCACCAAGACAACCTTACCTGGAGCAAAACGCCAGACCCAAACAGCACTGCTCTGGGTGCCAAGGTGAGCCACCAAGTTCGAACCCGGATGGCTTCCCCTAGAGACCCTGCTGCGCCGCTCTTGTTCCACTCTGCGTTGGAGAGGTGTTATGGATGCACTAAATCAAATGCCATTTGGGATTTCCTGCACTCAGCTGTTTATAAGCTGTGTCAGGGAGAAGCAACATTGCAACTCCAAGCCTTGCCAAGCTGGGACTGGCTAGTGACCCACAAAGGCCAACATTCCCACTGCTCTCTCGTGCCCCTCACCACACTACAGCCCCATGGTCACTCCTGCCCTGGCTGGAGCACAAACCTGAAAGCACAAGAGCACTCTGGCTGCTCTGCATCTTCTTCAGACTCTCCAGGAGTGAGCCAGTGTCAGTGACCAGGGGGGCCGACGAAACAGACGTAGGACCAGTAGATGGCAGTGTGAATGACACAGGCCTGGATGCAGGGGTGGTTTCTGCAGCAGTGCTTGGGGTGGCATCTACTGCTGGGGAGCAAGAAAAACAACATGCTTACACCCCTCTACAGAAAAGCAGTTTGCTATTAGCAGGGCTTCCCAACTATGCAGGGGCAGCTACTAGAGGGAACCGGAGCCTGACGCAGTGAAGTAAAATTAGGAGGACACTCCACATTTCAGAAAGGATCCAAGGACGTCACCCCCACTCCAGGATCTGGAGGACTCACATGGGGTTAAAATCCCCAGGTTTGGGGGGAGCGGTGAAGGAGTCATTCATGAAGTTCTCCTCAGGACCAAGAGTGGCAGAAAATCTAACTTCATTAGCCCCTGGGAGAAGGCAGCTTTACTGGGTATGATGCATGACTCACATGGTGATGTTCTCTGGCCTGTGTTACACAGGTAGTCACACCAGATAACCTTAATTAAGGTTAAGATTTTGTCAGGGTTATTTTTAGTAAGGTCATGGTCAATAAGCAATAATTCATAGAAGCCCGAGACCCGCACTGCTCAAGTCCAAGCCGTGCGCCACCTGGGACTGAAGTTGCAGAGGTCACCAAAGATCACGGAATCCGTGATGGACTTGTATTCTTAACCATAATGGTCCCTTCCGGCCTTAGAAATCTATGGGATGGGTGTTTTCTTCAGTTTCTTGCTTACAACTTTAACTTACTGTAAGTATCCTACTAGCCACACCTCCTAAACGGGAGGGGAAGGCCGTGAGGAGTCCTTACCTGTCTTATCCTCCAAGACTTTGTTGAACCATTGCAGTGCTGTCTTCTTTTCTGCATCCAAGTCCTCTGCTGTGACAGCATAACCTAGCTGAGGGGGTGGGGGCTGCCAAGGGAAGAACAGCCTGAGCTTAGTCTCTTCCTCAAGGAGGCAGGCAGAGCCCAGCCAAACTCATGGTAAAGACACTGAGCAGCAACAGCTATGAAGCAGAGTTGCCACTCAGCTTGGTGCTGAGTGCACAGTGGGCCAGAGTATTGCCCGGGAAGCCCAGCAGTAAGCAGCTCTCCAGACACCAGGAGCTGGGGTTGGCTTCACTTCCCATCCCACAAATGGAGGACCTGCAGCAGGGTATTCCACTGCCAGAGGTGCCCAGGAGGGCCTACGTGGAGGCAACATACCAGGGTAAGCTGGTCTCCTCGGCGAGAAGAAAGCAGCTGGATCTTCCGCTTGCGTTTCCCACTGCTCCCTGACATGGACGGCAAGGTCAAGGAACTCTGCTTCTTCCGCACAGGAGTCTCCAAAGCTAGAATGGGAGGAAACAATCAAAAGTGGGGATCCCAGATGGAGGAGAGGGTCAGTTCGCACACCCTGTCATAGGAACTTGCTTACCGATGCTTTCACTGCCCTTCTGTCAGAGTGGGAGGGAGAGACTTGCCTCCAGATAACCCTGCCTCGGAGCACAGAGCCACAGACAGTGGGCCAAGCTGAGTACAGGACCCCAGGGTTTCCTGGATGAATGGCTGGCCACACCCGCAAACTGAGGAGGCAGCTTGTGCGAAGTCTCCCAGGGAGTGTGGAACAGACTGCTCCAGGACTTGCTCCTGCTTACATTGAAGAGCCCATTCAGTAACTCAGAGCAGCAGTGCAGTGGCCCTTTATAATGGCTGTTCCCATCCTCTCAGAGTGCTCCACTAACCAGCATACAAACTAAACCTGAGGTTCCTTTTCCATCACCCACATTCAGCCCCCTGTGGGGTGAAGCATGGGAGCTGTTTAACCACTTAGGACAGCAAGTGAAGAACACTGTCCAATTTAACCAGCAGGAGGAAATAGGGAGGGGCCTATCATTGCTCAGCTTGGAACTCGGTGGAGACGCATCATCCTGCCCCCTCTGCTGTGCCCTGTACCTACTTACTCTGTTTCTAGATCACATTCAGATCTTACTTCCAAAGAAGGTTCTAACTTTTGCCTCCTCTTACTCTTCAGCAGCCTTTCCTTTACAAGGCAGTTGCAGAGCCTGAGCCAAGCAGGCATCCCCAGTGGCTCTGCAAGCCATACCCCGTCCCCACTCACCCTTTTCTGTCTGCAGCTCCTTGTCAGATTTTACAGGGGTAGAAGTGCTGGACCAGTGAGGATCCTCCTCCCTGCAGAGACAGGAGAAAGCCCGTTAGGCCCAGTTCACTCTGACTCACCTCCACTCTGAGGGCTGCGAACATTTCAGGACAGATTTAACACAACCCACGAGCCATGAACGATAATCTTGAAAGCCACAAGAAAACTGCCAACCACTGGTAAGACCAGTGCCTTGAGCACAGCACTGTCTCTAGTCCAAACAGCTCGGCAGTGCCTGGAAACAAAAGGCGAATGAATGCTTGTGTTCCACAGCTTGGGACAATGGAGAGGTCTGGCATATCAGCAAAGGGAGAATTGCACACAAACCCTCCAGCACTTGGCAGAGGCAAATCTAACCTCCGAGCACCACTGAGGGGGCCACATTTTGCTGGCCTGAGAGTCATTTTGCTTTAGACCCAAACATTCACTGTGAATATTCTGGGAAAACAGCCTGTTTCAACATTTTTGTTTTACAACTGATGTGGCGCACACTCAGACTGCAGACACACACCCCTCGCTGCAGAAGGATGAGGTGCTGAGCACTAAGACAGGAGGCTGGAAGTAGACAGGTGCCTCTGTATCCCTCGGACAGCTATGACGGAGTCGTTAGGAGCAGCAGAGGTGGGTGTTAGTTAACGAAATGGCACTGGGCCCTTCCTTCTCTCCCAGCCCCAGACATGCGAACAATCCAGGCCAAGGAAATGGACAAAAGCAGCAGGATGTGTGTGCAGCATTGAAAGTCACCATGCCAGTAATCCATATCAGCTGCAGGGTAGGCAGGATACAGTTACGGACACTAGAGAATGGAACAAGTGCAATGCCTCCTTAGAGTGCATCAGGCCACCAGCAGGAAAACAAGGAAGAGTAGAGTTAGCCAGGCTTCAGGGGACTCGAGATGGATTGGAAGGGAAGGGTCAGAGTGCCCCAAGGTGGGTGGCTTACACAGAGCTTAAGACTTGGGGAGAAAGAAGAGGGCAGTGCAAAGCGCCACACCAGCCCCACCTGGACATGCCTTGCGACCCCCCAGCTGGAGTCTGCACATAGGATACCGTTAGAACGATACCCCCAACATCTGTTTAGACTGAATCAGCAACAAATGTGAGCTGCACTGAACTGGAAGTACAGCTTGGTTACCTTGCTTTCTTGCTAGGCCTCTCCGGTGTCTGAGAGCGGGAAGATGCCGGACTGGAGAGAGGGGAAGTACTCGGGCCACTTCTCTTCCACAGCTGGAACCCAGAGAGAGAGACCATTAAAAAGTAATTCACATCAGGAGGCTAAATACCCTGTGCTCCTGGCCAGCCCCACAGGCTGTATTGCTCCTTTTTATAACAAATAAAGCAACAATGATCTGGCTGGTGAAGAGACTAGAGCCGTAGGATATGTCTATGCTGCAATTAGACATCCCTGACTGGCCCATGCCAGCTGACTTGGGCTCACAGAGCTGTTTAATTGTGGTGAAGAGCTCTGGGGTCCGCCCTCCTTGCAGGATCCTAGAGCCTGGGCTCCAGTCTGAGCCTGAATGTCTACACGACAATTAGTCCCTTAGCTCGAGCCCTGAGAATAAGTGGCTCAGGCCTGCCGTAGGCTTTGAACTGCGATGTAGACATACCCTAGATCCATTAGCACACATCGAGTTACTCTGGCGAGAACAGGCTATGTTCTCAGCAACACTGCACAAGATACCATCAATCCTACCTCAGGGACTGTACCATTTTTCCATTGAAAGTGGTACATTTCAGGTGAGACTGAACCTAGGGAACACTTCCTACAGGAATCGTAAGAACAGGAATGGCTATACTGGGTCACAGCAATGGTCCATCTAGCCCCGTATCCTGTCTTCTAACAGTGGACAGTGACAAATACTTCAGAGGAAATGAACAGAACATGGCAATCATCAAGTGATTCATCCTATCATCCAGCCCCAGCTTCTGGCAGTCAGAGGCTTAGGGAACACTCAGAGCATGCAGTTGCATCCCTGACCATCTTGGCTTACAGCCACTGATGGACCTATCCTCCGTGAACTTATCTAATTCCTTTTTGAACCCTGTAATAGTTTTGGCCTTCACAACATCCCTTGGCAATGAGTTCCACAGGTTGACTGTGCGTTGTGTGAAGAAATACTTCCTTCTGTTTGTTTAAAACCTGCTATTAATTGCATTGGGTGAGCCCTGATTCTTGTGTTATATGAGGAGGTAAACAACACTTCCTTATTCCCTTTCACCACACCATTCATGATCTTCTAGATCTCTGTCATATCCCCCCCCCCCCCCCGTCATCTCTTTTCCAAGCTGAATAGTCCCAGTCTTATTAATGTCTCCTCATATGGAAGCTGTTCCGTACTACTCATTTTTGTTGCCTTTCTCTGTACTTTTTCCAAATTAATATTTTTTTTGATGGGGAGATCAGAACTGCATGCAATATTCAATGTCGTTTTCCCATGGATTTATTTTAAAAAGGTGTATCAGGTTTGATGCCCTAAAGTGGCTCAGGAGACGAGGAGGTACAAGAGAGAGAGTAGAACAGCAGCAGTTAAGCCTGCACAAGGATAGGCTACTAGCTAGTAAAGTTCAGTTATCTGCTCTTATAAGAACATAAGAATGGCCCTACTGGGTCATACCAAAGGTCCATCTAGCTCAGTATCATGTCTTCTGACAGTGGCCAGTGCAGGTGTCCCATAGGGAATGAACAGAACAGGTAATCATCAAGTGAACCATCTCATTACCCATTCCCAGCTTCTGGCAAACAGAGGCTAGAGACACCATCCCTGCCCATCCTGACTAATAGCCACTGAAGGACCTATCCTCCATGAATTTATCTAGTTCTTTTTTGAACTCTGTTATATCTTGGCCTTCACAACATCCTCTGGCAAGGAGTTCCATAGGTTGACTGTGAGTTATGTGAAGAAATACTTCCTTTTATTTGTTTTAAACCCGCTGCCTATTCATTTCATTTGGTGACCCCTAGTTCTTGTGTTATGAGAAGTAGTAAACAACACTTCCTTATCTACTTTCTCTTCACCAGTCATGGTTTTATAGACCTCAACCATATCTCGCCTTAGTGGTCTCTTTTCCAAGCTGAAAAGTCCCAGTCTTATTAATCTCTCCTCATACAGAAGCCGTTTCATACCCCTAATAATTTTTGTTGCCCTTTTCTGAATCTTTTCCAATTCCATTATATCTTTTTTGAGATGGGGCGACCACATCTGCACACAGTATTCAAGTTGTGGGCGTATCATGGATTTATATAGAGACAACGTGATATTTTCTGTCCTATTATCTATCCCTTTCTTAATTATTCACAGCATTCTGTTCGCTTTTTTGACTGCCGCTGAACATTGAGCGGATGTTTTCAGAGAACTATCTGCAATGACTCCAAGATCGCTTTCTTTAGTGGTAACAGCTAATTTAGACCCCATCATTTTATATATATAGCTGGGATTATGTTTTCCCATGTGCATTACTTCGCATTTATCAACACCGAACTACAACTGCCATTTTGTTGCCCAGTCACCCAGTTTTAAGAGATCCTTTGTAGCTCTTCGCAGTCTGCCTGGGTCTTAACTATCTTTAGTAATTTTGTGTCATCTGCAAATTTTGCCACCTCACTGTTTATCCCCTTTTCCCCCTTATGCTGCATCTGCAATTTTACAGTCCTGTCTGATGACAAAGGAGTCATTTCAACACCATTTTTTTGGTAGATTAGCAGTTGACTAAGAGCCCTGGATCAAAGCTGAAAATGCTGGACTCAAACATTGGCCAATTACAGCCTGAAAGGGGGTGGCATGACAGGAGAATGGTTCTGATTTTACGTTTTGTTTTACCTAGAACAATCCAAATTGAGCACCATCCAACTGAAACTAAGTCATAAGGAAACCACAGTGTGTTCTGGTCTATTTGAGGGGGCTCATTCCATGATACCCCTCGGCTTTAGCCAGTGCGGAGGATGGCAAAGCACTGCCTCCTGATGGGCATGTTGAGGACAGGCAATGCTACAGTTTACATTTTGCTTGAGATGCTCCGCTGAAGGTTTTTGTGCTGCATGAAGCTGGAGAGAGACTACTCACGTTTATTGCCAGGCATGTGGCAATGCTGCCTTATTCTCATAGGGCCATGCCACCCCAAACCACCATGTCTCCTGTGAATTCCAGGTGTTTTATTAGAAACGCTGTGTCCTACCTTCGAGAGTCCCCGGGTGGAGCTGTAGGAGCTAGCGATGGCATTGCGGATGGAGCTGGGAATCCCACCAGCATATGTGTTGTTCATGGAGCCGATGGAAGAAGTGCGCGATCTCTTGCTCAAGCAATCGTCTAGGCACTGGGAAACGAGGGCCCTCTTCAAAGTGCCTGGCCTAGAGAAAGAGGGAGAGAAGGTTGCTAATGAAGCTAAGTAAATCATTGAATTTTCAATTTGGAGGCTGAGCCAAAAAAGTTTGCTTTGATTTGAACCAAAGCTTAGTTTTTTGTTTTGATGAGAAAAACAAAACATTGAGTCTCATCTCAGGTTTTTTTTTGTCTTGTTTCACACAAAATGTTTTATTCTCAGGTATTTAGCACCTGATGTTTTGTTTAGAGATTTAACTATTTAAAAAACAGCTTTGACTTTCAAGATTTTCCATTTTTTCTGGCTGAAACTTTTCACTGAATTTAACTTGAATTCACACACAATTTTGGTGCTGCAAAAAATGCATTTTTCAGTGATTTTATTATTCACTAAAAAAAAGTTTTTTCCAGTTCTAATTTCATGCACTCCCAGCATCCACATGTTTTGAGAGTCTCCCACCCAGACTCTCTCTCTGACAGGTTAGTCTGGGTGATTTTTGAGGGAGGGGCAGGGTTTTCAGTTTTCCTTTTTCAGCTTGTGCAACCGAGATCTTTACAAGGGGGCTGCCAGCAGCTCAGGCCAAGCTCCCCTCCATATAGAGAGGATCCAGCACCGCACTGGACACCTCCCAGAAGTCTTTTCTCCCACAGTGAGGGTGCAGAGCTCCGCAATGCTTGGGTCACAGGACAGGAAGCCCAGCTCTAGCCCTGCCTGCTATTTCAATAAATTGCACTTCATGAAGGAAAAGCACAGTGCCTTTTCCTCTGGCCTCCACTCGACTGGCCAAGTCTGCAGAGCCTTTTGGCTTTGCCCTTTAGCCAACACTAGCCCCTTTACAGATTAGCAGGCACTTACTTGGGTACAAGAGAAGCTGGGGCTCCATTAGCTACCAGAGGCTCAAACGCAGACTGCCCACTGCCACTGCTGTCATGGCGTCTGCAAGAAAAAGATACGAGGAAATCCTCAGTGTTCAGAAGGACCCACACAATCCAGGAATATGTGATGAAAATCTCCGCTCTGGAACCAAGAACTCCTACATCAGTTGTTCTCAAACTTTTGTACTGGTGACCCCTTTCACATAAACCTCTGAGTGAGTCACCCCGTTACAAATTAAAAACACTTTTTTATATATTTAACACCATTATAAATGCTGGAGGCAAAGCAGGGTTTGGGGTGGAGGCTGACAGCTCGCGATCCCCTGAGGGGTCCCGACCCCCAGTTTGAGAACCCCCATCCTACATCCTATACCCATTGCCCTAACTAGACAGGCATATGACCAGACGGACCTCCCCACCCATGTTTTCATCTGAAAATCAACACTGACAGAATTCTGTTTTCATGAAAACGTTCAGAAGTTTTAGTTTTTGTTCCAACATGGAATGAAAACCAATTTCAAAACCTTGAAAGTTGCCTTAAAACAGAATTGTCATCCTCTGGTCAGTTCTACTGCTGAGCTTGACTGCATTTCTCAAGTGCAAGCCACACCAGGTGCTGCCTGCGTGCCAGGCATAACCGCTGGCAGCACAAAGGCGCCCTCAGAGCATTGGTGCTAAGATCTGACATAGCTGACAAGCGCCATTTGGCCCACAACTCAAGCCACTGAGCAGTGAGCTTTCTGCCTACATAACCTCCTCACGCTCCCCCACTGGCTCAGTGCTTTGAAATGGGTTAGTGTTACACAGCTGGGCACTCAATATTAGTGGGGATTTGTGGAGCCAATGTCAGAAAGGAGAATGAAGTGTCAACATCCATGCTCAGCTTCTACCACGCTTTGTAGGATTGTATTCATCCTATCCCCACACACACTTTAGGAGGTGGGACCAGACATTCACTAGTCCAAGAGGCACAGAGAAGAGCAAAGGAGAGAGGAGAAAGCTGCGTAAGTCACTACAACCCCAGCTGAAAGTGTGCTCCTGCAGCAGTGGGAAAAGCAACTGGTTGCTCCCTGAAAGCTCTCAAACTGACATCTAACTGTGGGGCCAGGAGCAGCATTCAGGGTGACAGACTCAAACAGTATCTCATCAGCCCAAGCTTCTCTTCTCCGGTTCTCTAGCACTCAATTCATCTGCAAGAGCCCATATAACCCAGCCCCAGTGGATTTCCCCACTGCAAGCAGCCTCATGGCAAGCAAGGGACAAACATGGGGAGTCACAAAACAAATTAAACCCACACATACAGAAATGGACAGAAGGAAAACACAGATGGAAGAGAGGACAGCACAACTACGCTAGGGCATTTGCAAGGGGACTCCACCAGAAAGAGGATGGCATCCACCGATTTATATCCTACTCCTTCCTAAAATCCTGGGGAAAGATACTGCTGAAGCTATGTGTCTGAGACCTAAGGTCTGGTGTTCTCATTAAAAATAACGAATGGAAACTGGGAAATATTTCCCCCACCATTTCTTGAAGGAAAAACATGCATGCTTTTTTTGCTTATTGAGCTATATAAAGGAGATCTCAACAGATTTTAAACTGTCATGTTTTGTTTTACATCAGAAATTCAGGACACATGTATCCCATTTCTCTCTAAAGACTGAGGCTGACTGGAGAACTGATTGGTTTATGATAAAAATAATATGGAAGTGAGACCTGGTGAAGTGAGGGGAAGGGATGGTTATGTTTAAATGGAAGTTAATAAACCAGACTTAAGAATCCAAGCAGATGGAAGTGATTCTCTTTTAGGATTCCAACTCCTTCACTCCTTCAACCAAGTGCTGAGATAGAGGCCTGGCGTGCGGATTGAAAGCTGTCAAAGACCTCCACCAAAGCAGGGGAGACCAGGCTTGGCATTTAAAACTTCCACGATAGAAACCCAAACAAAGTTTTCCCCTCTTCCTCAAAAGAGGATTCTTCTAGGCTTCCTGAAGGTAGTTGGAAGGGCACAGATACCAGATTGGTTTCCTCTTGCCGACCACCTTTAATAGCCAAGTTCTGTTTCGGATTACTGGCCACACTGGAAAGGCCAGCTGATTGCTCCCATGTTCACAGCTAGCATGCTGCCTGGATATCTATTATGAAGATAGTGAAGCACCTGACACCTACAGCACCGCTTCAGACACACAAAGATAGCATCCAGCCCCCTAATGTATTACCTTCTTTTGTTCTCCTGACCACTAGGGAAACTCTGGTCCTCCTCCTCCACAGCCCTCTTCCTGCTCTCTTTGAGGGCACTCAGTACAGTCTCCTTTGCACATGGGTCCAGGGTGCTATTGCATGACAAGGCCATTGGTGAAACCAGCTGCTCCAGGCTGCAATGTAAAGTCATGAGTTAAGGGAGAGTGGGCCCCCACCTCCTCCCCATTAGCAGTGATGGATGTGCTGAGCTCCCCTGCGCCTGAACAGCCCAGCACATCTGAAGACTGGCCCCCCTCTAAAGAAAGAGAAATAATCTAGGCAGCATCTCCAATGCACCTTCAGGACTAGCTTGTGACCTCACAAGCCTTTCCATGGCAATAAAGCGATACTTCAGATGGGGATTAAAAGGTCACTACAGGGCCATGAGCAACAGACACTCCCTCAGGGAAGAGAGCATCAAGCGACCAAACAGAAGAGTGAACTACCCATTTTCCCCAAGCAGGCTACTCTCCCCTCTGCGATTAATTAAGGGGAGGTTTTACAGAGCTGTAAGTAGTGCGAAGTGATGCGTAAGTGCAACCACCAGTGCACACCCGCCTCAGTGCATCCAGAGCAAGTCGCCATGCAGGAGATACAATCTGCTTGCTACCAGTAAGTGCAGGATCTGGGAGAAGCAGGGCTCCTGCCCTCTAAAGGGGAACACTACTCTGCTCAGCACTCAGTAATCTTTAACACATAAGATACAAGTGTATTTGAGCACTGGTTGTATGCGTGTACCTCGTGTGTACCACATGTGCTGTGGGATACTGAAGGGCCACTGATTAAGCGGTACTCACAGTGGAGAGCGGGCCAGGTTGCTGTCCGGACGTGCAATCTTCACTGTCACTGGGCTGTGCACCATGCTGGAGTTGCGAGCAGATAGCAGGCTTTTCCTCTGGTAGCCATCCAGGCATACTGTGGGCAGGGCCCCCAACGAGGAGTACTGGGCCTGCTGAATTGGATACCGGTGTCGAGGAGTCAGCGCAAAGGGAGTTGGTGGAGTCAGGTGATCCCTGTAGAGAAAGACCACAGGGTATAAGTGGGCGGCTAGCTAACGTACCTCTTGCTAACCCCAAGAGACTCCACGCATTGCAAGGGATCAAATGAGTTTAAGCTGCAATTATTTGTTGCAAGGAAAAACTAGAAAGGTTCAGAAAAGGGCTGCTTTAGTCATTACAAGGAATCACCCCCAACAATTCATAAGTGACCAGAATTACACAGTATCTACACACAGCCTCACCAAAACACAGCTTCCTCTACGATGCTGGCAGAGCGTACATCTCCATACAGCAACACCACACAACAGCGAGAAAATACCATACCAGTTTAAACTTCACGGTGATATCCTAGAGAATGGAACGCTTCTGCTACAGTAGGGGACTAGGACAAAGCAACCATCTTTGGTGAGAACTACCCTTTGAAACTACCCTTTGAAACTTCACTTTCTTTGTAGAAGAGATGTTGGTGCAGTAAAATCCATCAGGATCATCTGACTATTTCCCGCTTCAGAATACGGGCCAGGCAACAGGGAAAACGTTCACGGAACCATTAGCATGCGGCAGCACCAAACAAATACTGATCTATCTGGAGAGTCCCCCTCCAGCCTATTTAATGGGAAGCCAATGAAACAACGCTTGGCAGTGACTCTGGGTAAGCGGTTCTCCCGCCAACTCCAGAGACACAAACATTCCAGCTGCAACCAAGTCACTCTTACTCATGAAGTAGTGAGGAAGTGTTTATGAAAGTTGACTCATTGCTAGGAACAGGAGAAATATGCAACTCTGAAAACAGAACCTCAGATTTCAACTTCTATAGTAGTCTCCTGCAAAATCTAAGCTTTGGCTTGAACTAAGTGGAGAGGAACCATTCCAAAATAAGCCAAGGTGCCTCGACCCTAGGCCAGTCTTGCAGAAGACAGTCTCTGGGCAGGACGTGAATTCACTCCACACTGTTTGGTTCCACAATATACTCCTGAAGGAATTCTGTGCCAAAAAAATTAAAATTCTGTGCACAATATTTTAAAATGCTGCAAATTTTATTTTTCAAATAAATGTGGAGGCTCCAGCATGGCACTGGGGAGCACAGGCCACTGGCTACACAGAGATGGGAGATCACTGTGCAGCCCCCCCCCCCCCCCCCCCGGACACAGAGGTGAGACTGCACCCAACCCTGCCATAGCACAAGGGCTCGGCCTACCCCAGAAACACCCCAGGGCCTTGCCCCTCCATGCCAGGTGCAAGCAGGTAGGCTCAGTAAGCCAAGATCCAAGGGGTGGGGGGGATCCAGGTGGGGGTTGAGAGGGTTCTGTTTGGGGCAATCTGGGTGTGGGCTGCTCAGTGGGGGATCTGGGTGTGGAGGGGATCTGGATACATGGAGGCGGGGTCTGGGTGCAATGGTAATGGGACTCTGCAGGGGGGTCCAGGTGAAGGAGGTTGGGGCTCAGCAGCGGTGGGTCTGGGGAATACACAACTTGGCAGGGAGTCTGGGGGACTTACTGGGGGGTCCAGATGCTGGGGGAGTGGGGCTCATGAGGGGGGTTCTGAGTGCAGGGGGGTTTGGCTCAGCGGGGGCAGGTCTGGATGTACAGGGTTGGGCAGATGGCGGAGCAGCTCCCTGTACAGGGATCCCTCCCCCAGTAACTGAGGAGCAATGGGTGCAGGAAGCAGGGGCGGGGAGTTTGCAGAGCTTACTGCAGCTGGGGGAGAAATCTGGGGGTGGGTCTGACCGGGCCCCAGATGCCATGCAGGGGAGGAGGAAGTCCCGTCCTCCCGAGCCCAGCTGCTGAGCTGGCACAGGTTCGGAACCACCATCTGGGTCTTCCCCAGTCCTACCTGCTGCCCTACAGTGATTTACCTCTCTGCCGGCTGCCCTGGGCACCTGGAAACATATTGCCTGGGAGGGTCGCGTGATTGCTCTGGTGGCCTCCCTTTGCTTCCCCATGAGAAAGTCATTTTTCTGCAGGGAATCAAATAAATCTGCAGGGGACATAAATATCAAGCCTGCATCTCAGCAATGCCCTAGCCACACCAAGCACAAATCAGACCAATTCTGAGAACTGGTTAACAAAGTTTGTGTACCGCATACTACAGCTAAACTATTTTCAACAGGCTCAAACATGGTTAATGTGCTGGTAAATAGGCAGCAGGAGATCCATGTAATAGGCACAAACTTTGTTAGCCATTATAAACAGAGTTTTTGCGCTTTAAGAACCTATAAGTAGTAAGTGTGGCCAAGACCTTAGAGACCAGGAGTGAGAGGCCATCGCTATTTACATTAATAGCGGTAACAGCAGCATGTGTTATTGGGAGCCCTAGTCAAGGACCAGGACCCTATCTGCTAGGCGCTGTACACACACACACACACAGAACAAGGTGGTCTACTCCCTACCCCAAAGGGCTTACATGTGGCTGCTAAGATCATTCCTTCCCTAAGATGCTGCTGTGCTCACCCCATTTTTGCCCACCCCATGCCAAACTAAGGGGACAGCAACTTGTGAGGGCCCAGAGCATTCCCCACTCCCTGCACATGTTGGGATAATGCCCTGGAGCTCTAGACTTGTGTACACATGCAGAGTATCCACTGCAGCATGCTGCAGAAATGCAAAAAATCCCTAGGAAACCTGGCCAAAATCACAGAGAGAAGTGAGGGAGTTCCCCCACTCCTACTTGCTCCACCCATCCCTCCTGACCCAGTTGATTGCTTATGAGCTTGTGTGGAGTGGGGTAGAACCCCACACAGCCCAAGCACCCCACAGAGCTGCATGGAGAACGCCCTGCAAGAGGGTTTCCTCTCCTGCCTAGAGAAGGGGGCTTCACACACTGTGGTACCAGCTCTCTGCTACCTGCCTGCATTCCCCAGGCCTGATACCAGGAGGGAGGTAAACCCTCTCGATGTTCTTCCCAAGTTGGTACCTTCAGAACAGAGACATGTGCTTGGGGAAGAGACCTAGCCCCAGAATCCACCAAAAGCATGGAGCCTCCCCACCCCGTAGCTCCAAGATGGGGCCTGCTGCCCAATGCTGGAAGAAGGGGTGCCCCAGGAGCAGCACAAGAGGGGAGAAGATCAGACAGTGGGGAGGGAAGGGGGGGCTGTTCTCCAGAAGGGTTGGGGATAGCAGGGCCAAGGAAAGTTGAATGGGAGTTGGGTTGAGGGGGCCAGGAGGGACAGCAAGGACAGGAGGATAATGGAGAGGGGGCTGCCCCACCCCCGAATGGGGGTTGGGGAGGGAGCAATGGGGAGGAGGGATCCATCTTGTCCTTACTTGAAGGAGAGCGAGGCAGGCAGCATTGATTGGGTTGGGGATGAGGAATTGTGCTGGGATGGAGCTGCCCCCGGAGCAGGGCTTGGGGGGGGGGGGGGGGGGTTTCAGTCCTCTCCTTACTCAAAGGAGATGCATCAGAAGAAATGAGGAGGATGGGAGGAGGAAGCTGGGGCAGGTGGGTCCCATCTTTACCAGAAAGAGAAGCGGAGGGGTGGGAGCCCAGGGGTTGGGCTAGGAGGCAGGTCTGGTCCTTTCCTGAAGGAGAGGTGGCAGGTCAAGTTGGGGGTGAGGGGGCAGTCTGGTCTTTACCCAAAGGCCAAGGAGTGGATGGAGGGGGGGAAAAGAGGAGAGAGGAGTGGATGGGCTGAGCAGGGGTCAGAGTGAGGGAGGGCTGGGGATGAAGGCAAGGCAGTGGTCCAGGCTGAGAATGGGAGCAGGGGAAAGGGCGGGGGTATGTCGGGGGGGGGGGGGGGGAGGTACGGCAGACTGAAAGGGGAGCTGGCAGGATTGGTCCAGTCCTTAATTAAAGGTGAGGTGGCCGGCTGGGGCTGATGGGCAGGCAGGAGTAAGGGGGCCTGAGGTAGCAGGTTGGGCTGGGGGGTAGTATGTCCAGTCCTTACCGAAATGCGAGGTGGCAGGTTGGGCTAGGAGGTGATGGGGGAGTCATAGCTGAGAGAGTGCAGGGAGCGATGGAGGAGCAGGTCAGGGTGTGGGGGGGTGAGGGGATCAGCGGTGAAGGGGCAAGGAGGCAGGTCGGGCTGAGGGGATCAATGGGTGAGGGGGAAGGCTGGGGAGGGTCAGTCCGCACTTACCCCAAGGTGAGGCATGGGGTTGGGCTGGAGGGAAGACGGGCTAGTCAGAAGATGAGTCGGGGTGAGGAGCAAGGGCTAGGTTGGGGGGTGTTGGGCTGGTGAGGGGAGGCTGGGCAGGTCAGGGGCCCAGGGTGAGGGGAAAGGGCTGGGGTGCAGGTGGTCAGCCCTCTCTTACCCCAAGATGAGGCGGTGGGAAAGGCTGGGAGATGGGGGGTGGGTAGGGGTATGGGGAGGCTGGGAGGGATCAGTGGGTTGGGGTGAGGGGGAACGGCTGGTGGGGGTGTCGGTCCGCTCTTACCCCAAGGAGAGGAGACATGGCAGGCTGGGAGATGAGGGGTGGATGAGGCTGGGGGGGGTCAGTGTGTGGGGAAGGACTGGGGGGGTCAGTGGGGTGGATCGGGGTGAGGCTGGGAGATGGTCAGTGGGGGGGTCGGGGTCAGGTAGGCAAGGGGACTGGGGCAAGGGCCGGGAGGTCAGATGGGGGGACGGGATGAGAGGAAAGGCCAAGGGGGGGGGTCAGTGAGGGGAACAGAGTGAGGGGACACGCCGGAGGGGGGCAGTGTGGGGGACGGAGTGAGGGGAAGTGCTGGGAGTTAGAGGGGGACAAGGGGGAAGGGCCGGGGGGATCAGTGGGATTGGGTGGAAGGTCAGGTCCGCTCTTACCCTGAGGTGAGGCACTGAGTCGGGGTGAGGGAAAGCCGAGGGGTCAGAGGGGGCTGGGAGGGGGCCAGGTCCGCTCTTACCCCGAGACGAGGCAGGGGGTTGGGAGATGGTGAGTGGGTCGGGGTGAGGGGAGGCCGGGGGTGTCGGAAAGGGCGGACCGGGTCTGCTCTTACCCCGAGGCAAGGCAAGGAAGGGGATCAGGCCGAGAGATGGGGAGTGGGTCAGGGTGAGGGAGGCCGGGGGGTGTTGGAAAGGGGGGGGGTCGAGCCGGGAGACGGGGAGTGGGTTGGAGTGAGGGGTGGCTGGGGCGTGTCGGAAAGGGGGGGGCTGGGTCCGCTCTTACCCCAATGCGAGGCAGGGGGTCGGGCTGGGAGATGGGGAGCGGTCGGGGGGGTCAGAAAGAGGGGGACCGGGAGACAGGGAGCGGGTCGGGGTGAGGGAGGCTGGGGGGTGTCGGAAAGGGTGGGCTGGGCCAGGAGATGGGGAGCGGGTTGGGGTGAGAGGGGCCAGGAAGGGGGAGGCGGGCGATGGGGAGCAGGTTGCGGCGAGGGGGACCGGGCACAGGCTGGGAGATGGGGAGCCGGTCGGAGTGGGGTCGAAAGGGGGGGTCCGGGCCAGGAGATGGGGAGCGGGTCGGGGTCGAAAAGGGAGGTCTGGGCCAGGAGAAAGGGGCTGGGGTGGGGATGGGTCGGAAAAGGTGGGCTGGGTGATGGGGACGGGGGTCAGGAAGCGGGGGGCCGGGATAGGAGATGGGGAGCGGGTTGGGGTGAGGGAGACTGGAGGGGATTGGAAAGGGGGGGCCGGCCCAGGAAACGGGGAGCGGGTCGGGGTGAGGGAGGCCAGAAAGGGGTGATGGGGCCAGGAGACAAGGAGGAGGTCGGGGTGAGGGAGGCCGGGAGATGAGGAGCTAGTGGGGGGGTCGGAAAAGGGGGGGCCGGGCCATGGGGAGCAGGTCGGGGGGTCTGGGCCGGGGGAGTCAGAAGGGGGGTCCAGGAGATGGGGGTTCGGGCCGGGAGGGGGGGGACCAGGCCGGGGAGGGTCCGGAAGGGAGGGGGGCGGGAGATGGGGAGCCGGGAGATGGGGGGGCCGGGAGATGGGACTCCGGAAGGGGGGGGGCGGGAGATGGGGCGGGAGATGGGGGGGCCGGGAGGGATGGGGCTCCGGAAGGGGGGGCCGGGAGATGGGGGGGCCGGGAGGGATGGGGCTCCGGAAGGGGGGTCCGGGAGGGATGGGGGTTCGGGCCGGGAGGGGGGGACCAGGCCGGGGAGGGTCCGGAAGGGAGGGGGGCGGGAGATGGGGAACCGGGAGATGGGGGGGCCGGGAGGGATGGGGCTCCGGGAGATGGGACTCCGGAAGGGGGGGGCGGGAGATGGGGCGGGAGATGGGGGGGCCGGGAGGGATGGGGCTCCGGAAGGGGGGTCGGGGGGGGGCCGGGAGGGATGGGGCTCCGGAAGGGGGGGCCGGGAGATGGGGGGCCGGGAGATGGGGCGGGAGATGGGGGGCCGGGAGGGATGGGGCTCCGGAAGGGGGGGCCGGGAGATGGGACTCCGGAAGGGGGGGGCGGGAGATGGGGCGGGAGATGGGGGGCCGGGAGATGGGGCGGGAGATGGGGGCTCCGGAAGGGGGGGCCGGGGGGGGGGTCCGGGCCGCTCTTACCCCGCGGCGAGGCGGCGGCTCAGGGGCCGCGCGGTCCCGGCTCCCCCGGCGGGGCGCGGCTCGGCCCGGCCCAGCTGGCCGCCCATGGCGAAGGGGCCCCCGTTGGCCGCGGTCGGCGGCTTGGGGCCGCCCCGGGTCCCCGGCCTGCGCGGCGCCCCCGGGCCGGGCCTCAGGGCGCACCAGGCCCCCGCCGCGCCCAGCAGCGCCGCGCCCGGCCCCGGGCCCCGCAGCACCAGGCAGGCCAGGCCCAGCAGCGCCAGCGTCAGCCCCGCCGCCGCGCCGCGCAGCCAGAGCCAGAGCCAGGCCCGCCGCCGCGGCCACGGCCCGCCCCGAGACATGGCGGCCCCGCGCCGCCCGCCGCCGCACCGCGCCCGGCATGCACCGCGCGCCGGGGCCGGGGGCGGGGCGACGGGCGGGGCTGGGGAAGGGGCGGGGCGACGGGAGGGGAGGGTTCGGGGGCGGGGCTGGACGCGGGGGGACGGGCGGGGCTCGGAGCCGGGGGAGGGGCGACAGGGAGGGGCGGGTTTGGGGGCGGGGCTGGAAGCGGGGGGACGGGAGGGGAGGGTTCGGGGGCGGGGCTGGACGCGGGGGGGACGGGCGGGGCTCGGAGCCGGGGGAGGGGCGACAGGGAGGGGCGGGTTTGGGGGCGGGGCTGGAAGCGGGGGGACGGGAGGGGAGGGTTCGGGGGCGGGGCTCGGAGCCGGGGGAGGGGCGACAGGGAGGGGCGGGTTTGGGGGCGGGGCTGGAAGCGGGGGGGGAGGGGCGACAGGGAGGGGAGGGTTCGGGGGCGGGGCTGGGGAAGGGGCGGGGCGACGGGAGGGGATGGTTCGGGGGCGGGGCTGGGAGCTGGGGGCGGGGCGACGGGGGAAGGGTTCGGGGCAGGGCTGGGGAAGGGGCGGGGCGACAGGGAGGGGAGGGTTCGGGGGCGGGGCTGGGAAAGGGGCGGGGCGACGGGAGGGGAGGGTTCGGGGGCGGGGCTGGGAGCTGGGGGCGGGGCGACGGGGGGAGGGTTCGGGGCAGGGCTGGGGAAGGGGCGTGTTGCCAACTTTCTACTGGCAGAAAACCGAACAGCCTAGCCCCGCCCCTTTCCCTAGGGACACGCCCCCACTCCCTGCAGTCCCCCTCCCTTTGCGGTTGGCTCTCCCGGACCCTCACTCACTTCCACTGGGCTGGGGCAGGGGATGGGGCTGCAGGGTGGGGAAAGGGCTCTGGGAGGGAGTTGGGTGCCGGAGGGGGTGAGGGGTTTGGCGCTTACCTTGGGCAGCTCCCGCGAGTGACCTGCACAGCGCTCTGGCCGTGCCTCCTAGGGTGGGGGACCAGGGGTCTCTGCCCACGGCTGCCTGCAAACACCGCCCCGCAGCTCCCCGTGGCCGCAGTTCCAATGGCAGCGTGGTGCTCAGGGCAGAGGCAGCGCGCGGAGACACATCGCCACCACCCCATGCCACAGGGCCACGGCGGCCGCTTCTGGGCGTGGTGTGGAGTGAGAGCGGGCAGGAAGCCACTTTAGCCCCACTGCGCTGCCCTTTTAAATCACCCAGGGGCGGCAGGTGGGGCCAGGAGACGCTCTGGGGGAGCCGCCCGGGGGTGACAGGTGGGGTCGGGGGAGAGATCCAGCCCAGAACATTGGTGGAGCTGGGCCACCGTGCTCTGAATATTCCTGGAGCACGGGCACCCCGGGCCCATACAACTCGCCGCCACTGGCTCTGTGTGGACATGGGCTGGCCCTTCTTCCTTTCGGCAAAGGAAAAAGAGTCTGGGAGAAACCCTAAAGGTTCTGGTGCTGTTTAAGTATAGGCCAAGAGCCCTTTTGACATCCAGTGTGTGTGTAGGCCAGATTCTTCTCTGGAGGCAGGAGCATTGGATAGGACACTGGTAGGTGGATTTCCTGACGAATATGGCATTCTGAAGGGACCTTTGGGAGGAAGCAAGGAAATAGCGTGACCCTGTCACTGTAGAAAGTAGCGAATGGTGGGTCTGCCATGAGCACACTGAGCTCTCCCATTTGTCTAACCAAAGTTATAACTATGAGGAATGAAGTCGTGAGAGAGAGGTGGAGGAGAGAACAGGTAGGGGTTGGCTTTAAGGGGGGCTGTTCCTAAAGGCACTGAGAATGAAATTAAGGTCCTGTGGGGGAGCAGAGCTCCATGAGGTGGGAAGCAAGCTGTGTAAGCCTGTAAGATACCAGGCCGTGGCTGGGTTGGCAAAAACTGAGGAGCCCTGAATGGTCGAATGGAAGGCTGTCATCGTGGCCACATGTACTCTGACTGAGCTCATTGGCAGACCTTGTGTCTTTAAGTCCAATAGATTGTCTAGGATCTTGGGGAGAACAGCAGGAATGGAAACGCTTCCACTTCTGGTAGGTTTCCTGCTGGGTAAGAGACTGGACATTCTCCGAAGAGGTCAGGTACGTACCCAAGAACCATCTAGGAATCATGCCCACAGATTCAAAGACAAGGAGCTGGGCTGGTTCAGGGCACCCGAGTTCTGTGCCTGGAGATCCTTCCTGAGGGGAACGCAGGGAGGCATTGCCACGGAGAGGTGAAGGAAGTTCGAGTAGCACACCAGTCTCGGCCGTGACCATGGTATGAGAATACCCTCAACCCTTCCCTGCTTCAATTTGAGCAATGTTACCAGATTTGCCCGTTACTTTGGGGTATGCTCATTTATTAGGGTTACTCTTCTGGGGGGCGCGGGTTTCCGTAATTCTATCAATGTACTGCTTATGTCACGTGTGTTTTCATATGGAGTTTGTAGCGGGGCAATGACTCACCGGCACGGTGCCTCCTGCTGGTTGTCTCAGGAATTAGCTCTTCCAGCCCGGAGCGCCCTCTGCAGGCCAGGTGTCTCACCTGTCCCTGGCCCCCTGGCCCCTCCTGGACCCCGGTGCCCTTTACCTTGGAGTTTTGCCCTAGCAGTACCCCCTCGCTCTGGGTCTCCCCTCCCAGGGGAACCCCCAACCCTCTAAACCCACCTTGCCTCAGTGGCTACTGCCAGTCATCAGCTAGCCCTCGTGCACTGGGGCAGACTGCAGTGTAATGGCCACTTATCATTTGCAAGGGGTTAGGACCAGCTGCCCTTGCTTATTCCCAGGCTGTCCCTCTGCAGCCCCAGTACCTTTCTGGGCTTTTACCAAGGCCTGCAGCCTGGGGGTTTACCAGGCTGGAGCTCCCCAGCTCCCTTTGCCCTTCCCCAGCACTGCTCCGCTTAAGGTACCTCGCTCTCAGGCAACTAGCCCTTCCCACTCTAGGACAAGAGTGAGACTTTTCCAGCTCCTGGGGCCCAGCCCTCTTATCAGGGCCAGCTGGGCCCGGACTGAGCTGGCCACACCTGTGGTCAGCTACTCACTCAGCTTTTCCCAGCCACAGACCTCTCAAGGGCTGCTTTTAACCCCTTCAGGACCAGAGCAGGGTTTCCACCCCACTACAGAGCTCTACCTCTCCCTTATGTAAGTCCCCTCCCAATGGAGCTGTCCTGCAGGACCTAGGTTTCCTAGGGCTGGGTTCCTCCGGCCCCAGAACCGGATGAACACACACATACACAAACAGAGCAAGTCTCAGCGGACCAGGTCAATCAGCACTTTCAAGCTGACCCCCTTATATGTCCCTGGACACAGCGGACTGGGTCGAGCAGCGCTTTCAAGCTGCCACCCTTGTATGTCACAGGTTCAGCACGTCCCTATCCCCACTTTCACATCACAATTGTACTGGTAGTAGCCCACTGGCTGAGCAAACCCCACAGTATTTTCGGGTGCGACAGGGATCTTGAGCTTAGGTAAAAGAAGTGTTGCTGCAGAGTAAATGGCGAAGCTAAAAACACAAAAAAACGGTTACTTACTTTCTCATACCTGTTGTTCTTCAAAATGTGTTGTTCACGTCCACTCCACGTTAGGTCTGCCCGCGCCGTGTGCATGAGCGCCAGGAACTTTTTCCCTTAGCAGCTCCCGTTGGGCCGGCGGGGCCCCCCGAGTGGCACCACTGTGCCGTGCATACATACCCCTGCCGGCCCACCCCCCTCCAGTTCCTTCTTGCCGGTGACTCCAACAGAGGGGTAGGAGGGGTGGTGGTGGAATGGACGTGAACAACACATCTCGAAGAACAACAGTTACGAGAAAGTAAGTAACTGTTTTTTCTTCTTCGAGTGCTTGTTCACGTCTATTCCACGTTAGGTGAATCACAAGCTTACCTCTGGAGGAGGGTAGGAGTCACGGAACAACTGCTTGGAGGACCGCTCTGCCAACTGCGGCATCCTCTCTGGCCTGCTGGTTGACCGTGTAGTGGGTCGTGAAGGCGTGCACCAAGGACCAGGTGGCTGCTCTGCAGATCTCCTGGATTGGGACCTGTGCCAGGAACGCCGTGGAAGTTGCCTGCACCCTGGTCGAGTGGGCCGTGACCGCTGGGGCCGGAACATCTGCGAGCTCATAGCACGCCTGGATGCAGCTTGTAATCCAAGACGAAATCCGCTGCGCCGACAGTGGGAGGCCTTTTAACCTCTTGGCCACAGCCACCTGCGCGGATTTGCGAAAGGGCTCGGTGCGCTCCAAATAGAACGCCAGCACTCGACGCACATCCAGGGTGTGCAAGCTGCAGACAAATGTCCTGGCCCAAATAGAATTGGGAGACCACTTTAGGGAGGAACTTGGGGTGCGGCCGGAGCTGCACCTTGTCCTTGTGAAATACTGTGTATGGTGGCTCAGAGGTGAGGGCCCTCAGTTTGGACACCCTTCTGGCCGAGGTAATGGCAACCAGAAATGCCACCTTCCAGGAAAGGTGGAGGAGAGAACAGGTAGCAAGGGGCTTGAAAGGGGGTCCCATGAATTTAGAGAGGACCAGGTTAAGGTTCCATGGAGGGACTGGGGGGAGGAAGTATGGGAACGCCCCCTCCAACCTTTTAAGGAACCGTCTCACCACTGGGTGGGAAAACACCGAGCCCCTCCCGAGAACCCTGGATGGAAGGCGGAGATGGCCGCCAGGTGCACTCTGAGTGAGGACGGGGCTAGCCCTTGCTGCTTGAGGTGCAGGAAGTACTCCAGGATGGCCTGAACCGGGGCCTGGCATGGCCGCACCTGTCGGGGTTCACACCAACACGAGAACCTTTTCCACTTGGCCATGTAGGCCGCCCTGGTAGAGGGTTTTCTACTGCCAAGCAGAATCTGCTGCACGGGAGGGATAGCTCAGTGGTTTGAGCATTGGCCTGCTAAACCCAGGGTTGTGAGTTCAATCCTTGAGGGGGGCATTTAGGGATCTGGGGCAAAAATTGAGGATTGGTCCTGCTTTGAGCAGGGGGTTGGACTAGATGACCTCCTGAGGGCCCTTCCAACCCTGATAGTCTATGATTCTATGAAGGGAGC